TCGATTGTGTCTGACTCTTCATAACCTCCTTTGGAGTTTTCTTGGCAAAGATACTGGAGTGGTTTGCCATTTCCTTCTCCAGCTCATTTTACAGATGAGGGAACTGAGGCCAACAGCATTAAGTGACTTGCCCAGGGTCACACAGCTAGTAAGTGTCTAAAGCCAAATTTGAATCCAGGAAAATGAGTCTTCCTGATTCCAGGCCCAGCTCTTTCTCCACTGCATCACCTAGCTACCCATTATGAGGTCTGGGCATTCATAAAACACACTTTCTTGGGGGGCAGGGCCTAAATCAAAGCCCATCATCTTTGTGAAAAAAAAAAGTGACCGTTAGCTAAAATGTTTATGCTGCAGCTAGATCAGAATTAATTATCTTACTGGAAGATAAGTTACTTAAAACTGTAAACAAAACTAGAAAAGACCTTAGAAGTCATTGAGCAAAATATCTTCATTTACAGATGAGAAGTACTGAAACCCAGAGAGGTTAGAAACCACTACCCCAATACATTCTTAGGGGAAACACACAAGGAAAGATAACAGCCATAATGCAGCTCTAAAGCTATATTCATTTCTGCAGCGCAAACACTGTATGTATTTTTCAGGACGCCTGAAGGACAATGGAGAAGAATATGGTGGTCATGAATAGGATGCAACATATTATTAATTAAAAACTGCATAGGAGAAGCAGCATAAAGAACAATACATTATATATCACTATTATATTATTATAGATTATGTTATATATATATTATATAAGAATATACACATATATTTCTGTGAAATTAAGTTATAATAGAACTAGTAAATAAGGTATATTGGTCATTGAATAAGAATGAAGACTAACCCATGAACAGCCTTCCACTAATATTCACAGCCCTGTGTTGGTATACTCTCAACGTCAGGAGGTTTGAAGGACAAGCTCCACTATGTTGGCTAGCGCCCAGGGGCAGCTAGGTGGCACAGTGGATAGCGCACCAGCCCTGAAGTCAGGAGGACCTGAGTTCAAATCTGACCTCAGACCAAACACTTGGCACTTGCTGTGTGACCCTGGGCAAGTCACTTAACCCCAACTGCCTTTAAAAAAATTTTTTTTAAATAAAAATAAAAAATACTTTGGCTAGCACCCCAGGAGGGTTTGCTGAAAGATGTGATGATACATAGGATGAGAAATTGTGGGTGGGATGTCATCTCCACTAGTGAAGCACATAGCCCCATTGATGGGCATTGATGGATTTCATAGATCCATCCAAGAATCAAAGTGTGAGTGTGTGTGTGTGTAGACGGACCCAAGATCTTCTGGAAAGGAAATCATATTCAGGAACCACTGAACACACCCAAAATAATACTCCTATCCTCAGTATCTGGTTGAGATAATAAACCACTCACCCATAAAAGTTGTATATGCAGGGCTGGAAAAGCACTGCATTATACTCATGTCAATGTGCTACAATGGGCCTGATGATCCCACATGTCTGGGAGATGACTATCACCAAGCCTCTGTCTCCTGTCTACTGGCGTAAATAAATAACCACTAAATGTCTTCACCCTCCATTCTTCCCCTTAAAGAAAAGTAAAGTTGTAGATAATATTGCCAAATGTTATTTTACAACTTTTCTTCCCAGCTTGTTGTCCTATGGTTAGAGACTTAACTGCCCCTGGAGAGACTGGGGTTATCGGTATTTCTTACTTCTGCAGCAGGAACTTGTAGGCAAAGCTGTGATTTCTATAATTCTGGGGCTCACTCTCAGTCATCAAAATGAGTTTCATTGTTCCCTGAACTCACTATCAAAATTGGAATTTAACCCTTCTCAACAATTACAATTAAGACATCAGGCAACTTAGTTTTTCCTTATCTTGAAGTCAGTTTATCAAAATTATGTAACTGAAATGTTCCTTACAACAGTATGGGGTCATTACTTCCATTTTATAGATAGGAAAGTTAAGACAAGGAGAGCCAGTTTTCTCCCGAGAAGGAAGCCAATTCAAGCCCCTCTGCTAGGTGCACTGTACTGCACAAAATTCTATTTTGTTCTTCCCAATAGTGGAAGCTTTACAAGCACAAAACAGAAATTAAGGAGCAGGTATATCACCTGACTGTTGTTCCCCTCAGGCTATCTCCAAACATGATGGCGAGTCTAAACTCAGAGAAAACACTCAAAAACAAACTGGGGATTGCTTGATTAACTTCAGCAGGCAGATCACCAATGTGATTCCTCGATACACTTTAAAGTCCTTTCCAACTCAAATCTTTTCTACCTCTTAACTATGATTGAATAAACTGATAATCTAGTCTAGTCATCAGGGGGTACTTAATTCCAGGGCCCATGATTCTAATACTACTATAATATTTTCTCAACTATAATAGTAATACTACTATAACATCCTCTATACTATCACAGTAATATACTCTATACTATAATATATTATAATAGTAATAATATTAATAGAGTCAGCCTCCAAGTCATGGAGACCTGGGTTCAAGTCTTGCCTCTTAACCTCTCCATGTCCAAGACAAATCTCAGAGGATATAAATTACAGGGAAGGTGCCAGTCTTCACTAGAAGAGGGAGTTTCTTCACTGGGCATTCTTTATACCAATGAAATTACAATTCTGATTTTTCTTTTAAAAAGTTGATTGAAGGAAAATGTAGTCACATAAAATCTGCATGTCACAGGGTAATCAAGTGAGGTAAGGATCAAATGAGATATCTTACGTAAAGTACTTTGCAAATCTTAAAGTGCTACTCAAGCTAGGTCCCAATTAGTATGAACAAATTAATCCCCTGAAAGTGGTCATATGTATTCAGAATTTACTATTTGAAGTTCTAATTACGTAAAATATGGTAAATGGTTCCAGCCCAATAAAAATGCACTAATGGCGACTTAGCTGCATAAATGCTAGGTATTATTATTATTATTTTATAATCAATCAAAATATTTGGGGTCCAGTGTAAATATTTCACAATAAGTAAATTTCAGAATTAAGAAGAAATCAAACACTTCCAAAACCCAATACTGGAGAAGAGACAGAATCAATTTCCAACCATCTCAGTGTTCTTATAATTCAGTTTCTAGAGCTTCATTGGTAGGGATGATCCCTTTTCCTATGCCCAAGGCAATTCTTCCACAACAGAGGATGCTCTTTGAAAAACCACCTATAGGGGGGCAGCTAAGTGGCGCAGTGGATCCAGCACTGGTCCTGGAGTCAAGAGGACCTGAGTTCAAATGTGACCTCAGATACTTAGTAACTGTGTGACTCTGGGCAAGTCACTTAACCCCAATTGCCTCACCAAAATGCAAAAAACAAACAAAAAGAAAGACCATGGTTCCAAAATCCATCAGTGCAGCCAACTTGGTAACAGCAAGTTTCAGGTTCAGCTATTCTGATCTTTTGTTGACAGAAAATCTGTCCAGCTTAGTAAGACCTGCCTGAGCCTGAGAACTGCTGACAAAAGCCTTTGGATTCCCTACTATGCAACAATTTTAATGAGAGTGCTTAAGATTTAAACTAAATCAATCAGCGAGCATTTATAAAGTTCAGGAACGATGTGCCAGACGTAGCTAGTAGGTTAAGTGCAAAACGGAGACATTCCCTGCCCTCAAGGCATATATGATAATTATAATCCTCCCAGAGCCCAGGCTGGCAAGCTAGGCATTATCTTCAACTGGCATATCCAATCTATTGCTGTAGCCTGTGGATTTTAACTTTTCTAGAAAAAGCCTCTGACACTGTCACCACCCTGGTACAGGGCTGCAATTCCTTCTGCCTGATCTATTTATTGTAATAGATAGCTGGTGGATCTACCAGGCACAAGTGTCTCTCCACTCCAATTCGTCTTCCACTCAGACTCTAAAGCGATTTTCCTAAAACAGTTTTCGCCTACACTCAGTAAACTCCAATGGCTCCCTATCAAGATCAAATATAACATTTCTCAAATTCAAAGCCCTTCATAACCCTAACAGTACCCTCCCCCCCCAAAAAAACCCCACACACTTTTCCAGTCTTGCACCTTACCTCCTTCCCCCCTCCCAAGTAGTCTTGGATCCATCCACATTGGCCTCCGTATCTCAACTGCAGGCATTTTCACTGCCCGTCTCTTATACACAGAATATGCTCCCTCCTCATCTCTACCTCCCAGCTACAACCTCACATTCCATGAGAAGCCTTTCTCCATCACTCTTGACTGTAGTGTCTTCCCTCTGTGGCATATGTCCTATTTATCAGATACACAACTTGTTTGTACACAGTTGTTTGCATGTTGTCTTCTTCATTCTAGTGTGAGTTACTTGAGGTCAGGGACAGGTGTTTTCTTTTTTTTCTTTTCTTTTTTTTTTTTTTGAGGTGGGGGAAAGGGTTTGTATCCCCAGTGCTTAGCACAGTGCTTGACATATGATTGTTGCTCAGGTCGGTTCAGTCTTGTGCAACTTTTCAAAACCCCATTTGGGATTTTCTTGGCAAAGATATGCCATTCTTTCTCCAGCTTATTTTACAGGCCAGGAAACTGAGGCAAACATGGTTAAGTATCTTGCCCAGGGTCTCACAGCTAGTAAGTATCGGGGGCCAGATTTGAACTCAAGAACATGTGTCTTCCTGTTTCCTGACACTATGCCCCTAGTTGCCCCCTGGCATATAGTAGGTACTTAATGTTTATCGGCTGACTGACTGAAGGAGTTTACATTCTGCTTGTCTAGCAGGGTACAAGACGTTCTCAGATAAGAATACAAGTCGAGCACTTCTCTAATAGAATGTTCACTTAACGATGAGGTCAGAATGCCAATATATATAAACAAGTACACGGGCGGGTTAACACAAAGGATCGCTAAAAGGAGGTGACCGTAATCCTTTATAAAGGAATACCTTTTCCTTTCTCCTCGTCTTCGCTAGCTTTGACTTCCTCTCCCACTCTTAGCAGCCGCCTGTTCGCAGTCATTCTCCTTTCCGATGGCCAGCGCCCCTCTGACGCCCGTGCCCACCCTAGAGCCCCGCAGCCCTTTGTCTCGTCTGGCGTGCCCCGCGCCCCCGACAACCCCGCATAACAACCTCTCCGATCCCCGGACTAGCCATGAGCAGTCACGCCGGGCCAACCATCTGAGCCATCTTTATGTTCGGTTGGGAGGAAACCCGCTACCTCAGGTACGTAGATGAGAAATGGGTACAGAGGAGACACCAAGTAGTTCGTGAAGGTTGGGGAGGTGGGACGAGGAGACTGAGGGGCCGGAGGCAAGAGGCAGCCCTGAAGGCAGAGGCCTCGGACCCACGCTTGAGCCAGCCTCCAAAGGCTCCTGGGGGTGGAGTGGGGATGAGGATGGAGGGGCTGATGACTGTCTGCCGTGCCAAACATCCAGAGAAAACTGGAACTCTTCAGTGAAAAATGCAGGCACCATCGAGGTCTGGATTCATTAAAAATCCAACTTTTTGCCCCATTGCTTTTTCTTCTTTCAACAAGGCCTTGAGCCTTCCTCAGAAGCAGCCACAGTCTCACACGTTACCTGGGGCTCCACATACCCGCCCTTGCAGCACTTGGGGGACATTGGAGTCTTTCCCTGAGAGTCTCAGGAGCTGCCACTGAGTTCGCAGGGAAATTCTAGGAGTCCCACGTTCCCTGTCTTCCTTATCACAACATGTTAAGCATCTCCTCTAGGCATGGCCAAGCCGAGGTTTGGGGGCAGAGAAAAGAGGGTTGGAGCTGCAAAAGAGAAATCCGCTCCCAAAGAGAAGGCTGTAGGTGTGGGCATCCGGTCCTTGGCCAAAATTTCCTTCTTTTTGGACGGAAAGCTCTGGAAGCTGCCTCCAGAAATGCAGGCAGGCACCTTCTCTAGTAACTTTGAGCTTTAGAGAGTTATCTTGGGCTGCTGAAATATTAAGGGACTTGCCTGTTACATAAACTTTTTATTCAGGAGGCCAGGTGGCCTGGAATTTTCTCATTGCTTAAAATAGATTGTTTCTTGTTCTAAGAGAGAGACAGAGAAGCAGGCAGGTATACCTGGTATCACCGTTTTATGTTTTTGCTTTATTTTGCTTCAACAGGCAGCTAGCAATGAAATATTTTAAGAAACTATTTTAAAAAGATAGTCTTAGTAATTTTAGGAGGCTCCTTTGTGATGACCAATGCATTTCCCAATTTCCCTGCTGGCCTGATATCTTCTCTCAGAGATTACTTTTCATCTACTCTGAGGAGCAAGCCTGGGAAGATGATGATATACTGATCCCCTTCACACACACATACACACGCACGCACACACACATACACACACACACACACACACACACACACACATACTCACACCGTTCCACCAAAACTGACCAGCTAACTGTCCCCCATCCCTGAATATCATTTCCTGCCTTTACCCAAGAGATCTGTGTGTCTTTCATCAATCTCCTTAATTTATGATTTTTCTGCAGAGTAAAACTTAGGAGCCTCTTAGCCCCTGAGGCCTTTTCTGATCCCTCAGTGCCCTTTCCCTCTAAAAATGTTTTCAGATCCCTTTGGATGACTTCTCAAGTCCACTTGGAACACCTGGAGAAGAAGAGGCACTCCTGTGTGTGTGGATAATTCATTTTTGTCTTTGTATTCTCAATCCCTTGTTCACAGATGGTGCCTTATAAATGTCTACTACATTGTCAAATTGATGGCCAGATAACTATTCTGGTGTATTTCTTAGAAATTCCTGCAGGTGGGAGGTTGACCACAAGGATAGCCAGATAGTGAAGATGCTTTTCATGTCTCTGCTGGGAAATGCAGCTGGCTCCCATTTAAAAAACTGCTCATGCTAGCCTACAAGGGACCCCTGTGGAAATGCAGGACATCCTTGAAATCACCATGTGGCCCTGCATAAGTGCTGCTGAGTCAGAGGACCTGGCTTCAAAGCTCCGTTCCACTCTTATCTTGTACCCAAGGGACACTTTCCTTGGGCCTTGGTTTTCTCAACTTTAAAATGAAGGGGTTATTTTGAATCCTGGGATCACAATTTAACAGTGTAACTGAATCTGTGGTATGTTAGCCAAATTGTGAGATATCTATAAGGTGGTCTTAGGATCTTTTTTTTTAAACCTCCTAGTGGCCAAGTGTGTAAAGCTCTGAGAGTCAATGCAAAGAAGACCTAAAAACATGCTCTCTCCAACTCCGTCTTCCAATACCAGGAACCAAGAGTCTTGTCTGTGCTGAAGGACATATTGGCATCCATGGAAAAGTGATAGCTCTCCAGGTAATCAAATTTATAAAGAGCCAACAAAAAATCCTGCCAGGGCACAGAGAGCTTAGAAATGCCTTGGGGAGCTCTAGCTGCATTTGAGACGCTGCAGCATTGCTTTGGGATGTGGTTGGCAAATAACTGGATTCTAATCCTATTCTCCAAGGGGAAGGAGTATTAATGAGCTAAGATCTCAGAGAATCCTGGGTGGTGGGGACCATATGAAGTGGGTGGAAGTGCTTTCTCCTCCATCAGTCTGTGTGACTCTCTTTCTCTATCAGCAGGATGTGCTGTGTAGAATGTACAAGATGTCTGGGATTCTTACTCATCCCTCTGATTTCGTTGGGTTTTCTGACAAATATCCTGCTCTTCTTCCCTGCAATGTCACCTCTGGAATTGCATAAACTTTCTGATGAAGTCAAATACTCTGGAGGAATAATCGGGTGTGGGATAATAGTGAGTAAAACAGACCCTACCAAACCTCCCATGGGTCATCTTCCTTCCCCTCTGGAGGTGGGGTGGGGGGTTGGATTGGACTAGCTTTTGCTCCTTTTGTTTCATCAGTATTTTGGCATTTGGGATGTGCATTATGAAGTGTGGTCAGTCAATGACAGAAATCCTCCCCTGTCCTGCCAGAACCTCAGTTTTCTTATGTGTCCTTTTTATAACTAATGTGATTAAAGCTCCATCTTGTTTCTTCACTCCTTAAAATAAAACCCTGGCCTTGTCTGTTGAGTGTTTTGGCCAACTGAATTACAAACCATCTCTGTCTGCCATGATCCTAATCCAAGACTGCCTTATTCTTTTATTATGGGAGTGGTTTTGAAAAGAGCAATATTCTTTTTGGAAGCTGATTTATTTAAAAGCATTCAAAAGCATTAAAAGCATTCAAAAAAACCCACTTAATTCCACTGCATGAATTGTTTCTGAGTACCACAGATTATTAGTAACAATTTCCATATATACAGCTGTAACTAAAAAGGAGATTGGGGCTTTGCCTCAGGTCACTGTATTTAGAGGTTCTTGAAGGCTCAAATTCTAAATTAAACAAGATATCTGTAATGAAGTTTATTTCACACTTAGCCAGGAGAATTAATTGGAATAGGAAGGAATCTGGTGCCTGCCCTTGACTTCCTTCACCTCTGAAAAAGCCTGCCCAATAACTCCTTGACCAAAGTTGGATGTGAGGATACATTTTGCATCATGCCAGGGATAGCATGTGTTGTCCCAGGTACAAGTATTCCTTGCCCATATCCTTTGGTTTCCATGAATTAAAGAAAGAAAACAGCATCTCCAGATCAGCTTTCCTCTGTGCTAAATGATGATGAGTTTGTTTGTTTGTTTTTTAAAATTTAGCCCTCCTTGTGCCCATTGAAAAAGGGACTCCCAGTTCAGATTTTGTCCTACATTTGATCACCTCTAATCACAGTCAGATTAAAGGAGAGCTATCTCCTATATGGGATATTTCGTCTCTAACTTCTGTGCTCAGTATAAGTCCTTCCCCTGTCTGCAATGCAGATCTTTCTTCAAATGAGATATTTGTAAAGATATTCTATAACATCTGGTTGGTGCTACAGAAAAATGCTATTCCCTTCCCCTTCTCTTTCCACCCCCCTGTCCTCCAAGTCCAAATGTTGCCTCCCATTCACCTGATCAAAGTTTGCATTCTTTTCACCTCAACTTATAAAATAAAAGTATTTTTCCTCTCTGCAGATGAATTTAAATGCATCAGAGAAATCATTTGTTCCTTTAGAATGCATCCATTAAGAGTACTCAGTGATTGGTATAAGAAATCCCCATGTTATTTGGTTTCCCATCTAGAGTCCTTTAGTCTGTTATGTTCTGCCATTCCTGGGGAGACCCTTGAGCTCCTTTGCATCTGCCCAAACTCACTATGCTGTGTTTCCCATTGTTGACAGATGCTCATTACTCCTTTCTCATTTCTGCGTTTGGGGAAAAGTAACACGAAGACATGTTGTGGGGTGAGGCATCGGGTAAGTGAATCCACTGTAGTAATAGTCAACTCCATGGAAAAACAGATGGATGATTGCAGAGCCATACTTTGGGGGGCTCTGATCTCATGAGTGCTAGACAGTAATTAAAAGAGATGGGGCAAAGAGGGAAAGATAGAGGCATTTCCTGATCACTGCTGATTAAAAGGAAACACCTAAACCTGTTACACATAATGACTGATGTTTAAATACCATTTTTAAATGTTTCAAAGCACTTTGTAGGTATTATCTTACATCCCTTGAGTCTCACAAGAACCCCAGGAGGTAAGCACTATGGGGATTATTATAGGGGAGGATTTATTTTATAGATTTTATAGATGAAGAAACTGAAGCTTGGGAGCATTAAATGACTTGCCTATAATCACACACCTTGCAAATCTCAGAGGTGGAATTTAAATTCAGACCTTTCCGATAGGGGCAGCGAGGTGGTGTAACAGATAGAGCACTCTCCCTAGAATCAGGAAGACCTGAGTTCAAATCTGGGCCTCAGACATTTGACAGTTACTAGCTGTGTGACCCTGGGCAGGTCACTTAACCCCAATTGCCTCACAAAACGAACAAAAAACCAACACAGATCTTTCTGATGCCAAGTCCCATAATAACAATAATGATAATGGTATCATAAACACCTTAAAGTTTACAAAGTACTTTATAAATGTTGTCTCATTTGACCTGGGAGGTAGATGTTAGTATTATCTCCACTTTATAATTAAGGAAACTGAGGCATACAAAAATTAAGCAGCTTACCCGGGATTGTACAGGTAGTTTTAAAGGAAGTAGGGGTTCTGTGAAATGGAGTTGAGGAGAGATTGAATTCTAGATATGTGTAATAAATGCATAATAAAATTAGCATCAATGCATAGGCACGGATCTAGGGAATGGAGTGTCATCTTTGAGAAACAGCAAAGCCAGTTTTGACTTGAGGAGAGTAATATATATATCAAAGTTGAAAAGATAGCTTGGGCTTAGATTGTGAAAGGCTTTAAAAGCCAGAGTTGAGAATTGATACTAGAGTCAATGGGGAGCCACTGGCATTTTTCAATAGGGAATGATGTGGTCATATATGGACTTGAGAAAAATTACTTTTGCAACTATTTGGAAGATGGATTGGAGCAGACAGACTCAGGGCAGGGATACTAATTAGGAAATTATTGCAATACTCCAGGATAGAGGTAATAAGAATTTGAACCAAGGTGGTGGTTGTGTGAAGAAGGCAGAAGGGGATGAAGTTTATTGGGGAAATATGTCATAATCAGACCTGATAAGACTTGGCAAGTAATTGGAGAGTGAGGAGCCATAGATAATGACAAGATTATGAACCTGGATGACTAGAAGGATAAGTGGTGCCCTCAACCAAAATCAGGATGTTTGGAGGAAGAGTGAGTTCATGGGGGGAAAGATGAGAAATTTTGTTTTCTGTAGGTTGCCTTTGAGGCAAGTAAATTAAAATGAAAAAGAAAGATGTCTACTGAAGGGGAAATCTTTACATCAAATATCTCTGATAAAAGTTTGGTATCTAAGATAGAGGAATCTAACATTAAAGACCAAGGTAACTAATTCCTCAGTAGTTAAGTGATCAAAATATATGGACAAATAATCCTCAAAAGACAAATTAAAAATAATAAAGAGTCAGTCAGTCAAAAATCATATATTAAGCATCTACTGTGTGAGAGGTATTGTGCTAGACACTAGAGACAAAAAAGCACAAATGAAATGGTCCTCATCTATTGGGAAAGACATCATGAACATACACAAGCATATCCTAGGCACAGGGGGCAATCAGTGTATAGGCACAGGGATAAAGAGATTGAGTATTGTAAGGAACAGCATGAAAGAAAATGAGAGATTGGAAAGGAATGTTGGAGCCAGCTTATGAAGTTCTACATAGCGGCTTTTATTTGATCCCAGGGGCATTAAGGAGCCATTGGAATTTATTGAGCAAGGGAGTGATATGTCAGACAAGCACTTTAGGAAAATCACTTTGGCAACCATATAAAAAGCTAATTCATTCAATAATTATTTCAGAAACAACTCTCAGCTTTCCATCTCATACCCAGCAAATTAACAAAGATGACTAAAGGTTGGAATAGTCATTGTTGAGGGGTCTGTGGAAAGACAAGCACACCAATCACATTAATAAAGTGTCAGTGAAGCTATGAATTGGCCTAAAATTCTGCAAAGTAAAACAGAGTTATGCTAAGATGGTTACTAACATGTCTTTCCCCTCTCAACTCAAAGATCCCATTGCCAGGAATATACTCTGAAACAGATAGGAAAATAAAGGTTCCATAAACACTAAAATATTTATAGCTATACTTTTTATAGCAACAAAGAACTGGAAATAAAGAAGCTATCTATCCAGTGGGAAATAGTAATGGGCTATTACTGTGCCATAAGAAATGATGAAATTATGTAACCTGTATCTGATTACTTACTGTCTCAGGCAAGGGGAGCAGAGGGAGGGAAGGAGAAATACAAGTTGGAACTCAAAACTTAAAAAAAATGTTAAAAATTGTTTTAATATGTAATTGAGGAAAAAATAAACTGTATTTTAAAAATGATGAAATTTGAAGAAGACAAAGAAGCCTAGGAAGACTTATTTGAACTGATGCAAAATGAAATAAGTAAAACTAGGAAACAAGACGTACAATGACTGCAATAATGCAGTAAAATCAAAGAATAATCATGACAACCTCAAAACTGAACACTAATTATAATGACCAGGCTTGGCTCCAAAGAAGAGAAGAGAAGAAAAAATATGCTTCCTTTCCTTTTTTTTTTTTTCATTTCAAAAGAAGACAATAAGTAACAACACAAAAGCACAAGCAAGAGGGATGAAATTGCAATATGGCATTTCATGTGTCAACGTGCAGGTGAGGGAAGAATTTTTTTTGGAGGGGGGAAGGGTAGCAAACGGTGCGCCTCTGAAAAGTTGGTGTGTGCACATAAAATGGGCAGCGGCTGCCTCTGCTCGCTTAAGGCTTTCTTGTACTAACCGCTGAGCAATGAATTCAATAGTTCTAATATAATTGCTCCGTATCTCAGTTCCTTCATCTATAAAATAAGGAAAGTAAAATGTGTGCTTCATCATACGCTCACTATAGAAGTCATTTAATAGATATTTAAACTTGAAAGCAGGCAACCTCCTTGAATGGTAAGCCGCTGCTACCATCAGTGTGATCAGAATGATTGCTCTGCCTGTGAACATTTTCTGTGAAGTTAGGCCACCTTTTGTGCTAGCTGGGAGACTTTGGGCAAGTCACTTAACTTATTAATGCTTGGGAAACACTCTCAGATATTGTTTTTGGTTTGTTTGTTTGTTTGTTTGTTTTGGGGGGGGGCTAGGCAATGGGGTTAAGTGACTTGCCCAGGGTCACACAGCTAGTAAGTGTTATGTGTCTGAGGCCGGATTTGAACACAGGTCTTCCTGAATCCAGGGCCAGTGCTCTATCCACTGCGCCACCTAGCTGCCCCAGATATTGTTTTATAGATAACATTGACAACCGTTGTCTTTAGTTGTAGAGACAGTGCCAACTTGTTTTAGTAGAGGGAATTTCCTCGTATGAGAATTACATATACTGAATGAAATCCCAGGTCAAGTCCCTATCAATATCATGAAAAAGTGAAAATTAATTTTCTTTCTCTGTTTTTCAGATGTTTATCTCCATAATAACTGCCATAATTGGAATTGTAGGAGCTTCATATGGAATGATAATAGCGTGGATTGCTATTAAAAAGGGTCCCAAGTGTGATGTAGGAGATGATCACTGGGAATATCCCTTCGAAGAATGGTAAGAACAAGTATTGCAGTACTCTGCCCACAAGGATCACTAGAGGTTGCTTTCTCCAGAGCAAAATCAACTTTCCTGTTGTCATATGTTTTACACAGCTCTTTTCAGTAAGACAGAGAGGCCAAATGGCAAATAGGGAAGAACTATGGTCTTTCTCTGGGAATCTCATACAGCAATCTCATGTGGTGGGGTGTCCAAGGTAACCTTAAGTAGCTCTGAGCCAAGACTAATAGCTGTCATAGGATATGTAGCTAAATAGTTATAGCCTTAGAAATCTAGATCATCACACTAATTTTTAATAATATTTCATTTTTTTCCAATTACATGTAAAGACAATTTTAACACTTTTTTTTATAAAATTTTGAATGCCAAATTTTCTCCTCCCCACTTCCTTCCTCCTCCCTAAAACAGCAAGCAATTTGATATGTTATATATGTGCAATAATGTAAACCCTATTTCCATATTAGTCATGTTGTGAAAGAAGAAACAGAACAAGAGGGAAAAAACATGGAAAAAAATTAAGTGAAAATAGTGTGGTTCAATCTGCATTCAGAGTCCACCAGTTCTTTCTCTGAATATAGATAGAATTTTCCATCATGAGTCTTTTGGAATTGTCTTGGATCATTGTGCTGTTGAGAAAAGCTAAGTCAATCATAGTTGATCATTGCAAAATGTTGCTATTACTACATACAATGTTCTCCTGGGTCTGCTCACTTCGCTTTGCATCAGTTCATGTAAGTCTTTCCAGGGTTTTCTGAAATCCACTTGCTCATCATTTCTTATAGCATGATAGTATTCCATTTCATTCATATGCCACAGTTTGTTCAGCCATTCCCCAATGGATGGACATTCCCTCAAATTCCAGTTTTTGCCACCACAAAAAGAGCTGTTATAAATATTTTTATATGAATAGGTCCTTTTTCCTTTTTTATGATCTTTGTGGGATACAGACCTAGTAGTGGTATTGATGGATGAAAGAGCATGTACAGTTCGATTGCCCTTTGGGCATAGTTCCAAATTGCTCTCCAAGATGATTGGATCAATTCACAACTCCACCAATAGACAGCACACGAATTTTAAGGTGAAAAAGAGTTACTGATTTTTCCTAAGCTATTTACATAGCTAGCAAGTGGCAAATGTGAAATTTGAACCTGGATGTCATGAGTGCAGGTCCTGGACTTTTATCATTACATCTTATTTCTTCTGACAGGAGAAGGGGTGTGTGTGTGTGTGTGTGTGTGTGTGTGAGAGAGAGAGAGAGAGAGAGAGAGAGAGAGAGAAAGAGAGAGAGAGAGAGAGAGAGAGAGAGAGAGAGAGAGAGAGAGAGAAGAGAGAAATAAACTTTAGGATCTTTTGGGGAGGCACAAGGGAAGGACAAAGGAAAATGTGTGTATATATGTGTGTATATTTGTGTTAACCTGTGTAATAGCTAAAAGCCCAATACTTATTAAGTGTCTAAACTTAACACTAATTAGAGAAGTGAAACTGATGTCAAACTTTTCCACAAAAAAAAAAAGCACCGTTTTCTTCTTAAGCAAGCTTAGATTGGTCTCACTAATAAACACAAAGTGCCAATAATGGGACAGTCTTTTAATGGAGCAGCATTAGTGAAAATGATGTTAGTTGTCTGCCAGATTAAATGCTAGCCACATGAATCTAGCTAATCTAAAATAAGATTATTCCGTGTAACCTGGTTTCTGAAATCCACTTGCTCATCATTTCTTATAGCGTGATAGTATTCCATTTCATTCATATGCCACAGTTTGTTCAGCCATTCCCCAATGGATGGACATTCCCTCAAATTCCAATTTTTGCCACCACCAAAAGAGCTGTTACAAATAGGGTTGATCCATATTAGCAATAGCCACGAAAGGCTAACTTGCAAGTCTGCATGACGTTTTATTAATTTAGAAATAGACGAACCAATGTAAACTAGTCTTCCCATTCCCCCAAGGTTACTATGACTCTGTCCAAAATCCTGAGAAGGACACAACTCAAAATCCAAAGGATTCTTGGTGCATGTGAAATTGAAACATTATGGGCTTGGATAATACTTGGGGAACTCTCCATCCAAATAGTATTCAGACTCAATAGATGACCTGTTTAGTGATGTTATGGGCAGAATGAACACTGGCTTGGGAGTGAGAGGATTGGGTTAAAATCCTAGCTCTGCCACTTACAATCTGCATGTCCTTAGGCAACACTTAACCTTTCTGATTCTTAGTTTCCTCATCTGTAATATCAGCAAATTAACCAAGATAGCCTTTGAGGAAGGGCCAGACCTTCAGTTCCAAATCTATGATCTGAAAGTCCTCTCATTCACTTTAGCAGGGGGGGGCTAAGGACAGAAATACCTGTCCACCAGTGCAGGTTGTGCTCTCTTCCAGGACACCCTTCTCAGTCATTAGAATCCAGAGCCCTGAGTCTGATTCTTGGCTATGCTATTTGCTGTTTTTGTGGACCATGTCCAATCGTTTGACCTCTGTGTTCCTCTTCAATGACATGGAGATGATAATACTTGCTTTACTGCTTCTTGGAGTCTGTGTAAGCAAACATTCTTTAAACCTTAAAGTGTTATAAATGGAGTCGGAAGATGAGTTCAAATCCTGACTCTGTCACAGAGTGATTCTGTGATCTTGATAAAGTCCCTTCACCTTTGCCTTCATTTGCTCAACCGTCAAATAAGAAAGTTGAATTAAATAACTCTTAAAGCTCCTTCCAGTTCTAAATCCTATTCATGATTCATATTACCTGATTATAATAAAAGCTGATATTTATCAAGTATTCTAAGATTTCAAGAGTGCCTTATTTGATCTACACAAAAAGCCTGTGAGGTAAATGCTGCCTCATATATAATATTACATGTATACTTTTTGAGGCTGGGTCTCCCCATCTTTCCAAGGCTCAAAGTATAGGGGCTACTTATAGGCCTGCTCTTATTGAATTTGGGGTATGTTGATTTTTATGGCACCTTTGAGCTATCCAGTTAAAAATACCTGATAGATGTGTGAATATAGTTCAGGCAAGAGAACTTTGACATGCATTTTTTAGAGGCTAACCATATCAGTGCTGGATTTAGTGCATACGTGTTATTGGCTTTAGCTCACTACAGCTCAGAACTCCTGCATTCAAATGATCTACTAAGGTCAGCCTCCTTGATAGCAGAGATTACAGGCTTAATTATCCCCATCCCCAACTATCCCCTATTTTACACATGAGGAAAATGAAGCTCAAGAGGCCAGACCTGCAGAATTGTTGGCCTCATAGCTCATGCATGTCAAAGGCAAGAATTGAGACCAGTTAGCTTTGGGCAAAGGTTCTTTGCCCGTTTGCAATGACATGTTTGCACACTTCACACAGAAATGGAGCTACTACCCAAGTGGAAGAGGGCTGTCTTTTGCACTGTTTTAGAAAGCAGGCAGCATACCCTGACAATACTCAGGAGCTATAACTTCTAGCTCAAAACCATCCATCCATCCATCCGTTCATCCATCCCAGGACAACGTCAGCAAGATTTCTTAGTGATAGACCTCTTGCTAATAAGGTATTTAATAATGGTAGCATGGTACACTTTTCTGCTACTGAAGGACATCATTCTTATGGGGGGGGGGTTGGGAGGGATTTCTATGGACAAGCCAGTATGAGGCCATGTCACCTTTTCCAAACCTCTTTGTTTGGCCTCATCCTTATTAACATCTCTATAGCATTTCACATTGTTGACCACCTTCTGGATCCTCTCTCTTCTGGGTTTCATGATTTTACTCTCTATTGGTTTTCCACCATCCTATTTGATGGCTCCTTTTCAGTCTCCATTACTAGCTCTTCATATCATGTCCTCCAACTGGGAATGTTCTGCAAAATTCCATACTGGTTCTCTTCTCTTCTCTTTTCTCTGTATATATTCCTACATACTAATCCTGTGCCTATGAGTTTAATTATTCAACCCTAGTCTCTTCCCTGATCTCTAGTCACACATGTATCAAGTATTTCCAATTGGACATCCCAAAAGTGTCTTAAAAATTAATATACCTCGAGGCAGCTAGGTGGCGCAGTGGATAGACCACCAGCTCTGGAGTCAGGAGGACCTGAGTTCAGATGTGACCTCAGACACGTAACACTCACTAACTGTGTGACTCTGAGCAAGTCACATAATCCCAAATGCCTCAAAAAAAAATCAGTATATGTCAAAGTAAATTCATTATCTTTCCCTTAAAATCTACCTTTAAAACTTCCCTATATCTGTTGAAGATATCACTGTACTTCTAGTCACCCAGATTTGCACCTTTGCGTAATCCTTAAATCTCTACTACTCCACAAGCTACGTATCCAATCAGTGCCAATTCTACCTTCACAACATCCCTCAAGTCTGTCTTTTTCTCTCTACTCACCCAGTCACCACCTTAGTGTAGGCTCTCATACCTCTCACTTGGACTCTCACAATCTACCTCCTAATTAGTATTCTTGCTTCAAATTTCTCACCTCTCCAAATGCATGCACTTCACAACTGTTTGTGAGGGTCTGACCATGTCATTCCTCTACTCAATAAACTGCAATGATTCCTTATTGCCTCTAGGATCAAATATAAACCCTTTAACTTTTTTTTTGAGGCAGTTGGGGTTAAGTGACTTGCCCAAGGTCACATAGCTAGTGGTGTCTGAGGCTGGATTTGAACTCAGGTCTTCCTGACTCCAGGACCAGTGCTCTACCCACTGAGCAACCTTCTCTTTAACTTTTAAAGCCCTTATTACAAACTGCTTCTCTTTACCCTTTCTACAATACAACCAAACTGGCCTTCTTGCTGTTTCTCTCATACAACCCTCCACCTCTCATCTCCATACCTTTTTCCTGGCTGTTTCCCCTACCTTCCGTGCACTCCTCTCCCTTTTAGAAACCTTTATTTCTTTCAAAAGTTTACTCAAGATACACACGAATCCTTAGTGGAACCATCACTTGCTGATAGCCCTTCAGTCTATGAAGCCCTGGTAGTCTGCACTATTGGCATTTGTTTTTCCTATGAACATAGCCGGAGGAAATAAGTAGCAATAGCGTGGAATTTCATTGGAAATATACAGCCTCTATGGTGCAGTCCAGTGGTATAAAACTCAAATAGAAATGGGGTCATTAAACCCCCTACTGACCTCGTATTGACACAAATTAACATCATCTATGTTTTATTGTATTTTTATTTAGTTAGTTACATATTTTCCCAATTACATTTTATGTCAGAATGCCACCTATGGCCAAGTATTTGACCCCTCTGGTATGGTTCAAAAAGCCTTGAATTCTTATCTTGGTCAAGAGGCTTCAGTTGGAATCCCAGCCTCAGCACTGCCTAGATTCATCCTGCATGAGATACAAGTGCTCTGCACCTCCATTTCTTCCTGTAGAGAATAACAGTAATGTGACTTGGCAGCTGTAGTCCAATGGGCTCATATCCATGGATTTCATCTTTACATTGAGAAGGGGTTAGATCAGATATCTACTGAAATCCCTTCTAGCTCTGGGTCTGTGGTCCTATGTTTCCCTTGGACTTTCTTTCTTTCTTTTTTGGACTTGGCCATGACCAAGTACTTTGTAAAGATAAGAGTATATATACGTATATGTTATATGTGTATATACGCATGTATGAGCTACAGTTAATAGTCAGAGACAACATGGAATAGACAGATAGATAGATAGATAGATAGATAGATAGATAGATAGATAGATAGATAGATAGATAGATAGACAGATGGATGATAGAAGGATAGAGTGCTAAGTTGGAAGTCAGGAAGATCAGATTCCCTTCCCATATCTGACACTAATTAACAGTGAGAACACAGGCACTTCATGTAACCTCCTCTGAGCTTCAGACAACTCTATTAAACTATAAATTACAGGTGATTATTATTATTATCATTATTATTGTAATCTACATTGGTGGAGGGAGTTCCCACACTAATGAAATCAACAAAGTCTAAATATCAATAATAAATATTTTGAAATTAATAAAAAATAATTTAAAATAATTCTAATAAAGATCAATAAAATCTAACACTTGACATTTTTGTGAAACAAAGGGCTAATCTTTCTTGTTATCCCCAAGATGCCCTTTAACAGTATCTTCCTCACCTGCTTTATAGAATTGAGCACTAGGCATTAGGAATGGCCTATTTATCTAGCAAGCCATGCTACTACAAAGGGAAGAGGCCCAACTTCCAAAAGAAACTCCCTAGTGCCACATTTTATACACACAAAATGCTGGGGGGAAAAAACCTCTTTGAATTCTTAGGTCTGTCCATTTTATCCCAGTGAAGTTATTAAATTGTGAACAGAGAAATGATTCTTTGTAGGTAATGGAGAATCTTCACCTTTCCCACCGTTCGTTCCCCTGCTGTGTGATCTTGAGGAAGTCCCTTGACCCTCCCTTGAACGTAGGGAGATTGGACTTGATGCAAGGTCTCCAAGAGCCACTCTGCTCTAATGTCTCCCACTGGTGTTGTAGTTACAGTGAAGTATTAGGAATGTGAAAGGTGTTCTGTTTGATGGGAAGTACAGAGGAGTTCATTCTCACGTCCTCGGCATGTAGAGGCAAGTACAGAGGAGAGAAGACCTTCTACTTAGTGGATCAAGCAAACAATGGGTTTAGAAGTAAAGAGTGCAGGATGGATGGAAATTGTGCTAACCGGAGCTCTCAGCCCTGATTTTGTGACACTATACTGCCTTGAATCATCCAAAGAGTCGCTAGAGTCAATGTCACACAATGAATCCTAGACATGGGAATTTTGGCTTTAACTTGTATGGTCTCGCCAACTCCCTGTTGCCATCGGTTAAAGTGAGGCAGTTAGATGAGATGCTTGCCAAGATCCATTCTTGTTCTCAAATTTTGAAAACAAAATTTAGTTTAATTACTTTATTGACTCATTTATTCATTCTTTTGTTTGTTTGCCTATTTATTTTTACAAAATGGCTATGTGCCCTGTCCTAATTTCAAATACTGGCTCTACCACTTATTATCTGTGGGACCTTGGACAAATCACTTAACCTGCTTATGTTTTACTTCATCATCTGTAAAATGAAAGGACTGGGCCAGATAATACTTGAGACCCCTTCTAACTCTAAATCTGTGGCAACGTGAGGGGGAAGTGGCATGGCACAAAGTCAAAGAAGAGGGTGGCAGAATCCTCCAAGTGTTGGAAGTCATTGACTGACTGCGTAGCTGCTTCCTCTTCTCAGGGCTATCAGATCCTGTGACTTCATTCACAGTGGGATGGGAAGTTTGTCTCTTTCCCTGAGCTGAGCAATGACAGACATTATCTTCATTTAGTAGCTAAATCAATAAAGAGGACCTGAAATCACGAAAGGGAAGAAAGGTCCTAAAGTAGAGGGTGTCCTCTGCCAAAAGGACTATAATAATTGAACTGATGGGATCTGGAGGTTTTATTTAGGAGGCAGGGGGAATGCTTCTACTTTTGCTTTTGCTTTCTGACACAATTCACCAAGCATTTATTAAGTGCCTACTATGTACACAAGCACTCAGGTCCTAAACATACATAGGTGAAAATTAAGCAGACCTTGTCCTCAAGGGCTGTTCATTCTACTGGATGTACGATGTGGTTATTGACTTCTCCTTTAAGGGAAAAATGACTAGATATCGAGTCAACCATCTCTCCTAATCCCAATTTAATACTAAAGAGGAATAAATATAATGCATTATCCTTTTTTAAAGATTTTTTAAAATCTTTATGAATTTGGAAATCTCTGAATGTTCAAATGAAATATTTGTAAAACAAAAGAAACCCAAAAAACAAAAACCCAACAACAACAAAGTACCTAGCACAGAGTAAGCTCTATATAGATGCTTATTGTTTTCTCTCCTCCACCTCCTGCTTACCAAGAAAGAGCCCCCAGTACAGCCAAGTCAGTCTCACCCCTCCTGACTGGAATCAGAGAGTAGCAGCTCTCCCAATTCTGTGTCTGTATCCTTTGGAATGTCCACTTCTCCCAAGACTGTGTGTACGTGTAGCTCTCTCTCTCTCCCTATGTGTGTGTGTGTGTGTGTGTGTGTGTGTGCGCGCGCGCGTGTGCGTATACCCAAGGCTGAAAAACTCCTCCAAAATTAAAAAAAAAGATGAAAGAAAAGTTATTTGACCTATCTGCTGCTAAGCAACCCCTTATTGGATTGCCTGAATTAGCCTGCTACTTTGGCAAAGTGCCCATACAGCCCCAAACAACGGTCAATTTGTTAAGTATATCTGAACCTAAGAGATTATGAGACCCCTACCACTGGTGAGGGTCAAAGGCTGGATTTTAACTTGCATCCAGTTACAGGACACCATCAACAATGCCACCCTACTGATAACATTTTGTTAGTAAAAATGAATGGGGAGACATATGGCCACGCATATACATATATGTGTGTATGCCCATATGTATATTGGACATATGTTCATACAGTATGTATATTTTGTGTATACACATACATACACAACACATATATGTATGTGTATGTACATAAATAGCCTTCAGGTTACCGGAAGCTATCTGTGACAAACCCAAGAGGCCGTATCATCTAGTGTAGGGGTGGGGAACCTGCAGCCTCGAGGCCACATGTGGCCTTTCAGGTCCTTGGGCATGGCCCTTTGACTGAGTCCAAGTTTTCCAGAACAAATCCTTTTATTGAGGGGACTTGTTCTGTGAAGCTTGGATTCAGTCAAAGGGCCACACTTGAGGACCTAGAGGGCTACATGTGGCCTTGAGGCCACAGGTTCCCCACGCCTGTTCTAGTGGATAGAGGGCTGGCCTTGGAATCTAGAAGACGTGGGTTCAAGGCTTCCCTCTGACATATACTAGCCAGCTATGTGGCTATTGGCAAGCACTTAATTTGTCAGTGGCCCAGCCAAAAAGTGAAAGGGAGAAAGTTGGTCTAGGCAAAATAACTAAGATGACCACAGAAAATTTGCCCATCTGAATGAATCAGCGAATGGCATTTCAGCAAGAAATTCTCAATAATGAAATCCTGGTTCCAACAACCACACCAAATTGGCCAGATCACCTTGAGATCTGCACGAGATTGTATTAGAGGATCTTTTGGTACAGAGTTCATGTCATTTATGGAAAGGGTTGCCATAATTGTTAGCAGAATTGCCATGGCAAAGCTTAAGATTTTGCTTGCATCTTTCAAATGCCAGATGACTATAAGTTTCTTAAAGGCAGAGAAGGTGTCACTTTTCAACTTTGTGTCCACAGTACCTAGCCTAGTACCACGTACACAGTAGGCATTTAATAAAGTATTTGTTGAATGAATGTCTTCACCATCTACTCCCTCACATAGGGACTATCTGAGTGATACATTCTTGTGGGGGAAGTGCTATAAACCTGCTGGCATTGTGACCTGGAACTTGACTCTCTTCTCCATCCTCCTGGGAGTAAGTTCTGCTGAGTTGGTAATCTGTGGGATTCAAGTGGTAAACGGCGTCCTTGGAATGGTTTTCGGGCAGTGGACATGAGATGAATATTGTTAGGTAAGTTCATTGTTTCCCATTTCTCATTTCACACCATTATCATAGGAATTAACTCAAGAGAGCAGGACTGTGAATAATTGAGTCCCATAGACTTTGCTCCCTTGCATATCCAGCAGAGAACTAAACCAGGAGCAAAGGGTCCAGTCAGCCTGACTGGCCACAGTTCATCACAGTCATAACTCTTTGGTTGAATCCCAGAAGCAACAGTCTGAGTCTGGGTACATCATGAAGACCATCTGTCCTCACCTTTCCAGTATTCTGAGTTCATATTGACAAAGCATGGATGAATGTCTATCTACACAGAGCAAGTAGTTTCCAAGGACACAAAACATCATTGTTTGGCCCCAAACATAATTCGATCTATTTTCCAAACAGATCTAGAGCTTATAAGGTAAGAGGAAGAGTCTTACCTAATTACCTTACCTTATTTGGGGGGATTTTCTATGACTCTTTCCTCACTAACATAGAGTATGTCACTTCAAAAGCAAATGTTTTATGGATGTCTTTCTTAGTGTAGGAAAACCAGACTCCAAAGTGAAGGACATAATACCCATAATATTGGGTCTTTGTCACATAGACAATGCTGATTTAAAAAAAAAAAAAAGAAACTGCTGAATGCAGAAATGGTCTAATTGCTTAGTTAAATCATTTATCAGCTAAAAACATATCATAAAAAAGTCTGTTAAAAAGTTCACACCCCACTTTCCAACAAACCAAATATGAAATGGTCAAAAAGACTAAAATGTATCACATGCTTATTGTGACGTATGGTGAAAGATGAAAACCTTTGTACCCAACAGGGTTGGGCCAGTAGGATTATTTTTTATAATAATCAATAGGATTATTGAAAGGACCCCTTTAAAAACTCAAGCCAATGAGACTGTCTGTAGATTTGGGTATTTCCTTAATCTGTCATTGCCTTCACCAGATAATGACTTATGGTAGGCAATCAGTCTAGCAAACACTTAGGACATTCTTCAAATTCTGACTCAAGCTCCATTAGCAATAATGCCAGGCAAATAATAAGGATTATTGATTTTACTTTCCTTCTTTGTGTGGAAACCAGGCTAGATTTGTCTTAGCTAAGTTTTTCCTCATCCACAAGGCTGACTACAAATGCTATTGAGATCTACATGAAAGCATTTCAGAAATTAATGTTTCAGAGAGTGTTCAGAAATATGACAGTCCTTGGTTGAGGTATTTATATGCTGTCACAAAAATCTCATTTCCGATTATTTCCATTTTGTGAGGGCTACCATGATAGCCAAGCAATCTTCTTATTCTGACTTCCTAAAGACCAATTAAGTATAGTGAATTAAGGGACAGACTTACAGTCAAAGAGATTTCCTGTGTGAGACCATATTTACTGTGTGAGAATGGGAAAGTCACTTAATCTGTCCATACTTAGGGCAACTTTTAAAAATTACGAACATTTAAAAGAATCACTAATCTACATTAACAGAAAGGATTTCCATACAGGAAATTCTTCACACCCAAAAATAAATAAATAAACAAGTCCAAGAACAGAGCAATCAATCCCCAAATTTCTTGATGCCAAAATATTTGAGGGTCAGGAAAGACAAATGTAATAGACTCACAGTCTATTAATAATAATTCATGGAGGTCCAGTGAACGATCAAGCAAAGGAATCTTCCCTCTAACGGAGTCAAAGGCAAAGGCAGAAGTCTCAACTCAAGTCTAAGGGAAAACATTGGTCCTGTCTCTCAGTCCGTCTCCCTTGCGCTCAGCAGTCTCTCTTCTTTTCTCCATCTTGACTCCTTGGTGAACCAGTTCAACTCTATACTGGCCTCCTCTCTTGGATCCTTAGCCCCCTCATCTTGCCAGCTGTGCCCTGCTAAACCTGGACCTTGGATCCCGCCCACCATCCACCCACTGCCTTTTTTCCTATGCATGTGCTGCTGAATGAAAATCATGCAATCTTTACATATTTATGTTACTCAGCATTGATTGAGCTCTCCCTGTTGTTCGGCGATCCTACTCCACCTCCCTTATCAATTCACTATCCCGCTCTCTGCAGCAGCAGTTCCAGAGCTTTTCATCCCTCCTCAAACTTCTTATAGCTCTCCCTCCCCATACCCATCCGCTGATATCCTTGCCTCATATTTTACAGAAAAAATTGAGGGTATTTGCCATGAACTCCCTCTTCTCCCCTCTTCCTCATCTATCACTCCAGTGCCTTCAGACAGTTTCTCCTTTCAATTCCATCTCACATAATGGTGTGGCCTTACTCCTTACCAAGGCTAACCCCTCTAGCTGTACAAAAAAATCCTATTCCATCCCATCTTCTCCAACAGATTGTCTCCTCTATCATCCCCATTCTATCACTTATATTCTAACTCTTCCCAAATACTGACTCCTTCCCTCATGTCTCCCTTATCCTGAAAAAACCCTCACGTGATCCTTCCATCCCCACTATCATCCTATATCTCTTCTACCCTGTGTAGCTAAACTCTTTCAAAAGGCCCTTCACAACAGGTAGCTCCATTTTCTCTCTTCTTATTCTCTTATAATCCCTTATAATTTGGTGTCCAATGTTATCATTCGACTGAAAAACCTGGCCTGTCTTTTGCCTACCAGTGAGCTCTTGGTTGCCAAATTCAGTGGCTTTTTCTTACTCATCACTCCCCTTGACTTTTCTGCAGACATTGACACTGTTGATCACTGTCTCCTCCCCAATACTCTCTCATCTCTAGATTTTTGAGACTCACTCATCTTACCTCTTTAACCACTCCTCTTCGGTCTCTAGATCATGCCCACTCTAATTGTTAGTGTCCCTCAGGGTTCTGTCCTGACACCTCTTCTCCCTCTGTACTATTTCACTTGGTGATCTCATCAGCTCCTGTGGCTTTAATTATTATTTCTATGCTAAGGATTCTGAAATCTACTTATCCTGCCCCAAACTCTCTGCTCACCTCCAATCTCACATTTCCAACTGCCTTTCAGACATCTCAAACTGGATGTCCACATGGCCAAAATGGAGCTCATGATCTTTACTCCTAAACACTCCTCAGTCCCACCTTCTCTTATGACAGTCCCCCAGATTCACAACCTAGGAGTACTCCTAGAGTCCTCACTATCTCTGTTGCCAAGGCCTGTCGATTTCACCTTTGCAACATCTCTATGAAAGACCCCCTTCTCTCCTCTGCTAGTGCTATGACTTAACTCTGTTGCTGGTTCTCATTACCTCACACCTGGATCATTGCAATAGATGGCTAGTGGCTCTGCCTGCCTCCATCTCTCCCCACTCCAATCCATTCTTCATTCAATGACTAAAGTGATTTTCCCATAGCACAGGTCTGATCACATCACCCTCCCCACCCCCTTACTAAATTAACTCCAGTGACTCCCTATCACCTTTAGTATCAAATAGTAAAATCCTCATTTTGGTATCCGAAGTCCTTCATGACCTAGCTCACTCTTACCTTTCTAGTCTTCTTACATCTTATTCCTTGACACATCCCCTTCTATTCAGCCTCCTGGCTCTTTCACAAACAAGATATGCCGTCTTTTTGTGAGAGGCCATTTCTCAGACACTCCTCTACACCCTCTTCATCTCTGTCTACTGGCTTCCCTGACTTCCTTTGAGTCCTAACTAAAATCTTGCCTTCTATATTAAACATTTCTCAATCCCTCTTAATTCTAGTTCCTTCCCTCTCTTAATTATTTCCTATTTATTCTATATATAACTTGCTTGTACAGTTTTTGTTTGTTATCACTTCCAGTAGATGGTGTGTTCCTTGAAAGCAGGAACTGTCTTTTTCCTCTTTTTGTATCCCCAGTGCTTATCAAAGTGCCTGGCACATGGTTGGAACTTGACAAATATCTATTGGTCATGTGTTGGGAGTGGAAGGAAGAAATCCAAAAATTGTAAATTCTTTTCTGACCTAATTAAGAATGGTATAGCATACTAATATGTGATCCTTTTCTCATATCTAGGGTAAATAATCTGCTTAAAGCTCCATGAAGAGCCTTTTGTCACCTTTGACTACCCTGACAGAAGAGCCATCATCTTTGGAAGTTTCCAAAGGCTCCACTGCCCATTTCCTGAGAAGGAGTTATACAAGGCAATCTTACTAATCTCTCGTCCAAGCAACAGCTCATGAAATGCTATGTTGAAAAAATTCATTCAAATAAATACAAAAGCAGGAAAATCAGTTAATTCTTGAATAGTATTCAAAGGACATGAATGGCTTTCAAAAGGATTATAATCAAACACCATATGAAAATATGCTCCAAATAGTTAAAAATAAGAGTAATGCAAATTAAAGCAATTCTGTGGTTTCATCTCATACTTGGAAAAATGGCAAACACGACAAAAATAGTAATGATCAATGTTTAGAGTTTCTGGGTATGAGAAGATACATAAACTAATACAGTTAGTGGAGCTGAGAAGTGGTCCAACTCTTTTGGAGTCTGGACCAATAATTTGGAGTAATGTAAGAAAAGTGACTGAACTATTTATACCTTTTGACCCAGTAATCACACTATTGGACATCTATCCCAAGAGAATCAAAGAGAAAAATTTAAGTCTAATATTTACCAAAGTTTGTAGAATCACTTTGGGTGGTAGAACCGGAAACAAGGTAGATAGATGGAAACAAAGTCCACTGGTTGATGAAGGGCTGAATAAATTGTAGCATATGAATGTATTGCAATCAATCAACAAGTATTTATGATATGTCAAGTACTTTGCTAGGCACTAGAGATAAAAATACAATGAATCGAACAATCCCGACCCTCAAGGGATTTATATTTTAAAAGGGAAGGCAACAAGTGTGAATGAAGATATAAGTGGAAATAAATCTAAAGAGAATAAATACAAATGAATAAAAAGCAGTCAATGCCGGGTAGTTTTGAAGAGAGGGCACTAACAGTCAGGGGGATTAGGAGCAGTTCCAGATAGAAGGCTATAGTAACGCAGTATGACAAGTATGAAGAATTCGGAGAAACGTGGGGAGATTTGTAGGTACTGGTAAGAATGAAAGCAACCCTCTACTGTATGCCAAGGCTATAAAGATGTAAATGAAAACACTAAAAGGAATCCTGAGCTATTGAGTTGCTAATAAGTCCTAGGAAACCTGAATGCGTTGACAGGAGAGTGAACATTTTCCTCGCCATATTGTCAGTGTTACATTATAGCAACGCGAATCCGACTCAAAGCTAACCTAAACATGAGCTGTGCCTACCTGCTGTGGCCTTCCCTGGAAGAGCTGAGAAATCAATTATCAGCAGCAAATTTAGAGGTTTTGCTGGGCACTCTAGCTCCCTGATCATGGGATCAATCAGGGGATCACAGATTTAGAGCTGGGAGGGAGATCATCTCTTCTGGTCTCCCCATGCCCGTTTTACAGATGAGGAAATGATGGCCCAAAGAAATTACACAACTTACCTGGGGGTAGCACTAAAAGATAGTAAATCTAGTGTTCTCTTTGAACTGTTTATCAGATGATAAGATCAAACCCAGCAATGGTCTCTGGAGGACTTCACTATTGTATCAAGCAAATAAGTGTCTATCCTTACTCACTTTTTTCCCTTACGTTAGCTCCCTATTGATTCCCCCCCACACCTCGAAAAATTCACAGCAACTCTCTTTTTCATAGTATTTATTAAAGACTGCTGGTAGTAGAAAGCACACTCAAATGGAAATTGACCTGTGTTCCAATCACAGCTTTTTCAGCTGCTATGCACCCTTGAACAAGTCACTCCTCAGCATAAATTTTTTTCACCTTATAAAAGGATTGGAATAGAAGATGTATAACTTCCCTTTCCACTCTCACCTTCTCTGACCATGACATAGTCAAACCTCCTAAAAGTTTAAATAAGTTGTTAGTGTCCCCAACCCCATCCACATGATTTACATCAAGGAATTCTAGGCAAGCTAGGATTCTAAGTAAGCTGATTTGTCTAAACTCCGGCTGCACTTGGAGTGCATAGGCTTCGTTTATCACTCAGCAAATACTAGCCTTTGTTGTCCTTTCTCATGTAGAAGTGCCCAAACAGCAGCAAACAATAGGCAGAACTCCTGAGAGTACCCTGAACCAGATTAAAGTGTAATTGGGAAATGTTTGGTAACACTAAAAAATACAATGTTAATTTGGGATTTTCTACATCAATACGCAGCCTTCTGGGATCTAGTTCTATTTGAGTTTAACATCACTGCCATGTATACACCCAGTCAACCCAACTAGGTTCTAAGTCCCTTGAGGACAGGGACGGTATCTTATACTCTTTGGTTTCTATCAGATGACCTAGCGCAGTGCTCTACCCAGTTCAGTAAAAATCTGCTGTTGATGGTGAGTAGCCATGTCTTCCCCTCAATAGATTACATTTGTTCAAGTATTTGATGATCCCTAGCTATGTAAAATTCCGTCTGTGTGTCCAGTATGGAAGGAAGATTCAGTAGTTTAAAGTTCTCAGGTCTTCACCTGGATGTGAGATATGTCAGTAATCCACCTGTGCTTTACCCAGGAGCCTCTAAAAGACTGACCACACACTTTACTCCTGACTTTCTTTAGCAATCTTGTGTGAGTGGCTCCTAAATCTCTTATTTGCCCTTTATTTTAGCTGGGTGACCTCACACATGTTGCTTTACTTCACTTGGCTTCTGTTCCCTCACCCAAATATGCTTCTCTATGATTTCTATCCATGGCTTCAGGGTCTAGCCTCTTGGATCAAAGTGAACAAGGATAAAATTACATTTGTATAGTGTTTTAAGGTTTTCAAGATGCTTTACAGATGTTGAGTCTAATTTGGCTTTCATACGACAAATACCTGAATCCTGCTCAAATCCTCAAATACCTGAACACTGCTATCATGGGAAAAATTGGTATGTGTAAAGTAAATTGGCATGTGTAAAGTGAGAAGGCCATTTAGTTTGGAGTTAAGGATTTTCTTGGTACAGATAGTGGAGTGGTTCGCCATTTCCTTCTCCAGCTCATTTTACAGATGAAGAAACTGAGGCAAACAGGATTAAGTGATCGCACATCTATTAAGTATCTGAGGCCAGATTTCAACTCAGGAAAATGAGTCTTCCTGACTCCAGGCCTGTCACTCTATGCACTGCAGCGCCCCTGGAGTTAAGAGAACTAGGACCAAATAATGATATTGCAACTGGCTATGTATGTGACCTTAGGGAAGTAAGCTCTCAGAGCCTACAGTTTCTTCTTTATAATGCGTTGGACTAAATTATTTCTAAGGTCTCTTTTAATTCTAAATTCTATGGTCCAATGAGTCAGGGTCAATAAACATTTATTAAGTGCGTAGTATGTAGGAATACTTCCTGCCCTCAAGGAACTTACAGTCTAACAGAAGACAACACATAAAAAGCTGGAAAGGGTGTGGGGGAGGTACCTGACAGAGCAAGGGAGAGCATGATGAAAACCAGAAACTGGAGTGAGAAAATGTGAGTTATGGAGTTGATTTCATCTTGCAGGATGAGTTTTTGGAGAACATCAAGTCTGGGAAACCAGCCAGGTGGGAAATGAAGCAAAAGTCATGGGTGCCCTTCTCAAATGGAGGATCTGGGAGTGGATCTCAGATGTCCATTCCCACACTATCCAATCCAAGGGAGTCATGAGTCTTCTTCAATCTAAATATCTCCAAAGAGGTATTTGCTGTTGACCCTGGGTTACTTAGTTCACTGAGCCTATTGACTCACTTAAAAAGGGATAAAAAAAACCCCCTACTTTGACAATGTATGCAAAGTACTTTTTAACTTTAAAGCTCTATAATGAATGTGAGCTCTTATTGTTAAACTAATGAGATCAAACTTGTCGATGTCTTTCCTAAAACATGGCCCCAGACCTGAATTTGGAGTGCTGGTCTGTGGGATGTGACCTGCACTCAATGACCTCCATGACCCTTTCCATCTTTAAAAGCCCATTTTGCCTCAGTATGTTTTCTGAACCAAGTTAAGCATATTTTTTTTGCATGTTCTACAGCTTCCAATTTCAGAATTTTTTTTTTTTGCTTTGTAAAATTTTTTTTATATACAGAATCTTTGGGAATCTGGAGGGGCTTTTGTCCATCTCCCTGCCCCAACTTCATTTCATACATCAGAAAACTAAAGCACAGACTTGTCCAGGCAGCATCCTATTCAGTAGAGAGAATGGTAAAATGGAGAAGCCAGAGCTTACATTAGCAATTCTAATTCCAGGGGTAAATCCCTCAAAATGCACCTGGGGGAAGAAGCTTTTGAAGACTTCCATTGATGAGGATGGAGAACTCAAGATGCAGGGACCCTAGCAGGAGAAGTAACTTTTAAAAGAATCGTGGGAGTTGGAAGCATTGGAAGGGATCTCAGCAACCATTTAGTCTCATTCTCACCCTGAGGAAATCTCCACTATAAAAGTGGTCATCCAGCCTTCATTTGAAGACCTCCAATGAAGGGGAAACCCACCATCTCTCAAGGTTGCCCATCACACTTTTGGATAGCTATCATGGTCAGGACTATTCTGTATATCAAGCCTCAATTTTTTTCTCTTTGGGGTTTTCACACATTTCTGCTAGTCCTGCCCCTTGGGGACAAACAAAACAAGTCCAACAAATCCATTATGAAGCTCTGCTAGGAGACTAATGCCATCAGCCAGACCAGGAGCTCACTTGGGGTTTGACTGCTGCTGGAAAAAAGTAGCTTTCTATTTTCAATTTCCCGTTGGCTAGTGCTGAGTTTTTCCTACCTGGTGAAGGAGAGTATGAGTTGTTAGCACCCTGTCAATGTTGACACCCTAGGACAAATCTTCATTTGCCCAGTCCTAGTTACAGTTCTATTAGATACCCTGTGTTGGAAACCCTGACCTTTAATCAGCTAAATCTATTCATTACTCTGGCCTTATTTTCCTTGTTTGTAAAATGACACAAGGGGAGGGCCAATTACATGCTAAGATCTCTTCAGCTCTAATATCTCATCATTCATGAGGTGGAGACAGTCACTCACACACTCACAACTCAGAGGCACATCAAAGTTTAGAACTCAAGGCTTTGGCCTCTCAACCCAAGTTTTCCTCCAACAAAACAGCATGTTCTTTCGTGGATTGTATATCAATTCTTTTTTTTTTCTTTTTGGTGAGGCAATTGGGGTTAAGTGACTTGGCCAGGTTCACACAGCTAGGAAGTGTCAAGTGTCTGAGGTCGGATTTGAACTCAAGTCCTCCTGACTCCAAGGCCAGAGCTCTATCCACTGCACCACCTAGCTACCCCTTGTACCAATTCTTTTGTTTCTCTTTTATCTTCCCACACATAATACCTAGTCCATCCTTGTAAGGCAAAGGGTTAAAAAAAATGTGCTCCTCCAGAAACAATCTAATTCTAAGTAAGGCCAAGATGGCAAGATGATGTCCCCAAAAGGGCTTCTCTTTGTACACATGACATTTCTTCCAATGAGAGCTAAGGAAGCATCCCTGGGAAAAAGTGACAGGGATGCTATCAATTTGGTTTTCCTCTCTTCCTTGCCTGAATACAGAATTTCAGAGAAGAGCAAGGAGAGATAAGAAGGTTTCCTTAAATGAGCAATGCAAAAAAATAGGAGACAATAGAATGGAAAAGAAAAGAGATTTCTCCAAAAAAAATAGTAGAGACACCAAGGGAATATTTCATGCAAAAAATGAGCATGAGAAAAGACAGAAATGGTAGGGACTTAGCAGCAGTAGATTAAGAACAGGTAGCAAGAATACTCAGAAGATCAATACAAGAAAGATCTTGATATCACCGATAACCACGATGGTGTGACTATTGATCTAGAGCCAGACATCCTAGAGAATGAAGTCAAGCGGACCTTAGGCCGCATTGTTAGCAGTGAGGCTAGTGGAGGTGATAAAATTCCAGCAGGCCAAGAGGCAACACTTAGAAGCAAACATGGAACAGCTGATAGGTTTAAGACTGGAAAAGGCATATGATAAGGCTGTATGCCACTTTATTTAACTTATATACACGGTACGTCCTCTGGAATGCCAAGCTAGATGAATCAAGAGCTTGAATTAAGGTTGCTAAGAGAAATAACAATCTCAGATATGCAGATGATATCACTCTGGTAGCAAAAGGTGAAGAAAAATTAAGAAGCCTCTTCATGAAGGTGAAAGAGGGGAGTATAAAAGCTGGCTGGAAGCGTAACATCAAAAAACTAGGATCCTGGCAACTGGTTCCATTACTTCTAGCAAATAGAAGTCACATGTGCGTATGTGTGTGTACGTATATGTGTGTGTGTGTGTGTGTGTATATGTATACATATATGTGTATATTATATATTAAAAAAATTATTTTATTTCCTGGGCTCAAAGATCAGTGCAGATAGCTATTATAGCCATGAAATTAAGACATCTGCTCCTTGGAAGGAAAGTTACGGCAAATCTGGACAGCGTACTAAAAAGAAGAGATATCATCTTGCCCATAGAGGTCCATATGGTCAAAGCGATAGTTTTTTCGGTAAATGTATGGCTATGAGAGTTGGACTATAAGGAAAGCTGAGCACTACAGAACTGATGTTTTTGAACTGTGGTGCTAGAGAAGACTTTTGAGAGTCCCTTGGACAGCAAGGAGGTCAAATCAGCCGATACTTAAAGAAATTAATTTGGGGCAGCCAGGTGGTGCTGTGGATAGAGCACCAGCCCTGGAGTCAGGAGGACTTGAGTTCAAATCCGGCCTCAGACACATAACACTTACTAGCTATGTGACTCTGGGCAAGTCACTTAACCCCAATTATCTCACCACAAAAAAAAATTAACTGGGTCTAGAAGACATAATAAGGAAGGCTTTCATGGGAAACTTTGATGACAAAGGAGAAATCATGGAGTTGTCTTGATACCACCTATGGGAATAGTATCAGGTGCTCCAACCCAACCACGTTGGGCAATAGTGAAACAGGTAGAGAAGAAACAAACCCATTGCCTAACTCTGGCAGGGGAGTTGGCAAAATGAAGCTAATTGGCAAGTAAAGTACTCCGAAGTCTAAATCGCCTATTCCTGGTCAGGGCTACTTTGGGAACTGAACGACCTTCTCCAGTGTCATCTGTCCATTCAGAAGGAGACTACCGCAGGCAGACCCCTGTGTGGGCCGGGGAAGATCGGCCCTCTTCCACAGGTTCAAGGCAGTTCCCTTTCAACCCTTTGATGGTGCGGTTGCTCAGCAGTACACTGTCAACATCGATCTCTTGTGCCCGCTCATCTGTGAGCCACGCAGCTGCTCACCCACCGAATAGGATGCGGGAGCTGGAGCCCACCCAGCTGCTCTCTCTCTTCACAGTATGAAATGCTATCAGATGGTGATGAATGAATTATGCACAGATTGACATCAGGGGGGAGGGGTCTTTAGTTTTGTGTGTGTGTGTGTGTGTGTGTTTTCTCAATTGCGGGTCTAAAAAATTGTCTCAACTTGTGCCCAAAGAGACTTTCCAGGATGAAGAAATGATGGAATGTCATTTGGAGAGTCAAGTAGAAAAATGACTGTGATACAGCCCACCAAAAGAATTTTAATAGTAGAGGGTGGAAATCCTGAAGATAAATCTGTAAAGAGTTTTTAAAAAGTAGACAATTCCTGTTCTACTATAAGTAGACAAATCCTGTTCTATTATAAAGAAATGCATCATGTCTTTAAATCATTCTTCTGTAAATAGAGATTACTTTTTTGCAGTGTTTTCCCCTCATCAAAAAAAAATTAATTCAGAATATTCCCTGGAAAGACAAATACTGAAGCTTAAATACTTTGGCCACATAATGAAAAAACAAGACTCATTGGAGAGGCCCCTGATGTTGGGAAAGATTGAAGCCCACAGGGAAAAGGGGATGGTAGAGGATGAGATGGATAGACAGTGTCATGCAAACAATGAACAGGAACTTGGACAGACTCTGAGAGATAGTGGAGGATAGGAGGGCCTGGCATGCTATGGTGCATGGGGTCATGAAAGAGTCGGACACAACTGAACAATAAACCTTGCCTCAGGTACATTATATGGAAGTCAAAGAGAAAAGATCAGTAGAACTGAAAGGCCCATCATGATGCACAGAAAATGACCAGAAGGGATCAAATAAAAACCACTTATGAAATATCTCCCCATCACAGATTTTTCAAAAATACCCTTATTTGATCACTCCCAAATGAGTTTCCTTCTGAAGCAGGCAAAAACTCTAAGATATGTAAATGGCTGCCTATTTTCAAAGAGATATTTTCCAGAGATATCACACACCCAGCCTATCCATGGGCCGCAACTCTTCAGAGTGTAACCTGAGCCACATTAAAATGTAATTGGGAAATATTTAACAAAATAAATATATAATAAACCATAGATAACATTAAAATTTAAAACTAAGGCTACATGTGGCCCACATCCACAGGGATCCTATTGTACTGATTAGTGGATCCATTTCTAGTATTTAACACTGTTGCTTTTAAGGGGACCAAACTGGATGACTTTAAGGTGTTTGGTTTTATAAACACAAAAAGAGACTTGAGAAAATGACCTTGTATTACTCATGGCCCAGATCTCAAAAATGGTTAAACTGTCAAGTCACTATAGCAAAACTTTTTAAAAATTTAAACATATATTTATGTTTGTAAGGAAGTCAGTACCACTGATATAATCACAGAGGCTCAGAATATATTCACAAACTTTTAAGTGTAAGGATGGATACACACTTCTTGTTTGCTTGGGTTTTTTTAGGCAATTGGGGTTAAGTGACTTGCCCAGGGTCACACAGCTAGCAAGCATCAAGTGTTTGGTCTGAGGCCGAATTTGAACTCAGGTCCTCCTGACTTCAGGGCTGGTGCTCTATCCACTGTGCCACCTAGCTGCCCCTGGATACATACTTCTAATGAGTACACAAGATACACTATGACATCTTTATGAGATGTGAACTTCTTAACTGAGTCAAGAAGGGAATGACTTTGAATATAGGTCAGCTATGCCTCTGAAGGCTTTCAATAACTGGAGGAATTTTAGTGGCAATTGAAAGTTGAAGCTAGAAGTGGAGGAAGAACCAGCCCCCTGAGAGGGAATCATTTTGGAGTAAGAGAGGACTTTTCTGCCTCTACCCCCACTGGCCAAGTAATTGTAGCTATTCAATTACTAGGAGACAGAGCATCCATCGAGGAGAAGAAAGACCCTCTGAGAGAAGGCACTAACAAAGAGAGACAGTTATCCAAAGGGGGGATAGCTTCTTAGAATGCAAACACTTACAGTGGAAAGAAGTGATGCTTATAAAGTCAAGAAAAGAACCTGCTCTGGGAAATCAGCTGAGCAAGCTGACCAGAAAAGAGCTGCATCCAAGGTAAGTCGTGTGAAAATCACACAAAAATGGAAGAATTTCCTGTACTAGGAATTGTAAATTACCCTTTACCATTCATGTAGCTACATGCGTGCCTCACTACGATTATATTCTATGTTTGAACCCAATCATCCCATGAAAACTGGGTATATTTATGAGTGTCTGTACCACAGGGTTTTTGTTGGGCTGTTTTTTGTGCCAAAGGTCTTTACCACCTTAATAAATGCCTGTACTAAAAGTTAATTAAGTCTACTGACTGATTGTTAATAGGAAACACACTGGTGGGGGCTCAGGAGCTATATAGCAATAGGAATAGCCACCGAAAGGTTAATCACTAGACCTAGAGGAAGTAGCTATTGTCTGGGAAAGCCAAAGGATGAGTAGAAGCATAAAAATGTGGAGAGTAGCCAGAGAGATTGTTTCATGTATTGCTCTTGGACAACAGCTTGTTGATCTTTTAACGTGTGATTTTTAACTTCAGTTGACATCCAGAAAGGTTGTTGCATAGATGAGAAAGCAACAAGGCTATCCTTTCTCCAGTCCTTCTCATGGAGTGTACAGATGAGGATCTTTCCAAAGATAATGAAAAGGGGTATTCTTAGATCTTCTGCAAGCATAGTAGAATGTTATAAAGAGTCCAGCAGCTCTATACCTCTAGAAGAGAGAAAAAGGTCACAAATTATATTGCTATTCAGTCTTTTTACTGTTTTTCATCCTACCACCACACATCACCAGCTGCAAAATCACCAGATTTTGTTTACATTTTATCATTTATTGACTTTAGCTGAGACTACTATTAGAATGATCATTCTTTATTTCGTCCACTCAAACATGTCCCAGTGAATTGCTCACTTTGATATTCCTCATCATCTAGGTGGTGCAATGGATAGAACATCATGTCTGGAGTCAGGAGGAGTTGAGTTCAAATATAGCCTCAGCCACTTACTAGTTGTGTGACTCTGTGCAAGTCACTGAACCTCTGTTGACTTCAGTTTCCTCATTTGTAAAATAGGGATAATAATAGCACCTACCTCTCAGGGGTATTGTGAGATAATAATTGTAAAACGCATGGCACAACAATACTTGTTCCTTCTCTCCCTTTTTATCCCTAAAATATTTAAGCATCAAAAAAATTGATGATTATCTGCTATGATCTTTTGTTATTTTCCACGAATATCAGTGTGGAAAACTCCCTGTTTGTAAACTTCCTCCCTGAATGGACATCAGTGACTCTTCTGCATCTCTGTAGTCTTCAAAAGTTTCCTGGGGAGGGTTGAGGGCTACTGAGAACTTAAGCAACTTGCCTTTTGGTCACACAGCTAGCATATGTCAGAGATTAATTAAGTCTTGAACTCATATCTTCATGACCATACAGCTGGCTCTCTATCCACTATGTCACAATACTTCATACTAGAAATTAACTAGATTTCTTGAGCACTATGTAGCACCCCTCTCCCAGTGGAACTGGTCAGAAACAGTGGATTGGTGATACCAAATAAGATTAAACCTCAATATAGAACTTTCAGATTTTAAAAAATATTCTCATTTTGACCTCAATGGTATTTTCAACTAGATTTGTAGAGAAGAAAAACCTAATACAAAGAAAAATCTAGTCCAATTCCCACCAAAGGATGGAATATGAGGGCAGCAATCCTCATTATTTACCTGGTATCAGGGCTCATACATACTGAATGTGTGAGCATTTCAAGGCTATTTGAAATATTTGATAGTCTGATTCCCTATCATAAAGTTATTTCCTGGTGAAATCAGTAAATGTTAAGGGAACATAGAAACTGACACAGTCCAATGTTCTCATGCTTTTAAAAGGGTCATTTCTAACAAAAATAATCTTGTTGGGCATGAATGTTTTCATCCTTCTATATCATGAGTCACTAAACTTTTCACATTCTTTGCCCCCAAAAATGCTAATAACTCTCGACCCTGAAAAGACCAAAGAGAGACTGAAAGCACCAATATGTGCAAAAACATTTCTAGCAGTTCTCTTTGTACTAGCCTAAATTTGTAAACTAAGTGGCCACCCATTATTAGGGAAGGTCAAACAAATTATGGTATATAATATTGTTGTTGTTCCATTGTTTCAGTTGTGTGACTCTCCATGACCCCATTTTTGGGATTTTCTTGGCAAAGATACTGGAGTGGTTTGCCATTTCCTTCTCCTGCTCATTTTACAGATGAGGAAATGAAGTGACTTGTCCAGGGTTACATAGCTAACAAGTATCTAAGGCCAGATTTGAACTCATGAGGATGAGTCTTCCTGATCCCAAACCCAATGCTCTATTCTCTGTGCTACCTATCTGCCCATATATAAATATAATGGAATACTATTGTTCCATAAGAATGATGAAAGAGGTAGTTTCAGAGAAACCTGGAAAAACTTGTATGAACTGATGTAGGAGGAAGTGAGCAGAACCAGAGGAGCAATGTACACAGTAACAAAAAGCCTACAAAGGCAAACAACTGTGAAAAGCTTGAGAACTCTGATGAATACAAGGACCAGCCAGAAGTCCAGAGAGCTAATAATGCCATCCACTCCCAACAAGAGAAGTGATGGACTCAAGGTACAAAATGAGACGTGGACTTCTCAACAAAGCCAGTGTAGGAATTTTGCTTCATTATGCATGTTAGTGTTTTTCCTTTCTTTTTTCTCTCTTTAAATGGGATGAGGTATGAGAAAGAAAATAATTTTTAATGGAAGAAACTATCATGATACAAAAAAGTTTTTTTAAAGAAAATGAATATTCTGAAATTAAAATGACCAAGTTTGAGATGTAAGAACACACATTCCTCCATTTTTTTGTGGAGGTGGGAACTATAGACGTGGATGAAATATGTATAATATTAATTATAATATGATATTATAAAAATAACATTATCATTAATTACACTAATTATATTAGTAATATCATATAATATTAATTTGTTGCTATGTTAATGGTTTTTCTGAATTTTTTCTCCTTCAGCATGAAGAATGATTCTCTGAGAGGGGAAGGAGAAGAGAGAGATGCATTGGAAAATCTAGGTAATTTAGAAACAAAATATATCAACAAAACCAATGTCTACTGACCTTGAAACCATTTACCCTATGTACACATTCACTCATGCTTTGTCCATATGACTACAGGGAAGTGGACAGAGGGCTGAAATATTAGGTCAACTTGTTTCATCATAGGTGGTTTTAATGTTGACCAAAGATTACAATTGGTACTTCTAGGATCCAGTCATAAAACCTTCCTCTTTGGTGAGTTGGGGACCAGTCAGGCTGATGAGGTTTTTGGTCTTGGTCTCTTTCTCTGCTAGGAGGATGCAAAAAGCTATTTGATTCCATTGACCAAACAGCCCTGCTCTCTTGGCTTAACTCAGATAATGGGAGAATAATGAGAAAATGGCAAAATGACTCACTTACCCCTGTATGCCCATGGGCACTTTTCTGATGCAAAGATTGTTCCTAAGAGACCAGTGATCAGCTCACTGGTGCAAATTACCAACTCAGTGGTACTTACTAGCCCCTGAATGATGAAAATACTCAAGTGCCAGGGCACAATATGGGGAGGACTTTTGCAGTCTTTCCAAAATTTCAAATCGACTACATAGTTCCTGGGTAAGAAAGGAGAAGGGAATTGATAAGACTAAATTGATTCTGCATCATTTTTCTTGATCCTACTTATAATTAATTAATTTTTATCCCTGTAACTAAGTAATGGTTTTCTATCTCTGAACTCAGTTCAAAAATTCAGCTACCCTGGAAACGGAGTTCTTCTGCTAATCATTGTTCTATTCTCGACTCATGGAAATCTGTTATCTTTGGATGCTACCAATCTGTAACCAATTGTATTCTTTCCCCACCTATGAAGTCCTTTTCTTTGTTCTATACTCCCCAAAAACTATAAAGGGGGAGTTGTTCTGCTCAGGATTTTTGGCTAAAATAGAGGCAGCCATAGACCTATTCTCTTGGCAGGTAGCAACCCTGTTAATGAAGTGTTATCTTCCTCAGTCTACCTTTGTTGAACTTCATTCATAATATAAGGATGTTCATTCATTCATCCTTTCATTTATTCAACAAACATTTATTGTCTACTATGTATAAGAAATTGTTTTAGGGCTAGGAACATAGTGGTAAAAAGTGACATAGTCCCTTCAAGAAGTCTATAGAATACTGGTATTTGAAAGAAATGAGCTTGAGACATACAATGGAAAAAATTCACCCATAAAATGGAAGCAAACAGCAGAATGGATTAGAAACCAGAATCTAGCAATATGTTGTTTACAAGAAGCATACCTGAAACTGAGAGACATACACAGAATTAACATAAGAGGTTAGAGTGGAATCTATTCTGCTTCAGCTGACGTTAAAAAGGCAGGGGTAGCAATCATAATCTCAGACAAACAAAAGCAAAAAAATAGATCTAAAGGAGATCTAATTAAAAGAGATAAGCAGGGAAACTGCATTTTGCTAAAAGGTACTATAGACAATGAAGCAATATCAATACTAAAATATAAGCACCAAATGGTATAGCATCCAAATTCTTAAAGGAAAGGTTAGATGAGTTATAGGAAGAGAGAGTAAAACTATACTAGTGGGTCAAAGAACAAATTATAAAAACAATTATTTCACTAAAGAGAATGACAACAAGACAACATTCCAAAAATTCTGGGATGTAGCCAAAGTAGTACTTAGGGGAAATTTTGTATCTCTAAACACATATATCAATAATAGAAAGAGTAAGTCAATGAATTAGACATGCAACTTTTAAAAAAAACTAGAAAAAGAACAAATTAAAAACCCCTAATTAAACACCAAATTGGAAATTCTGATACTCAAAGGAGAAAGAAATAAAAGTGAAAGAAAACCATTGAATAAAAATAAAACTAGGAGCTGGTTTTACATTAAAAAGAAACAATAAAATAGCTAAACCATTCGTTAACATGATTAAAAGAAAAAAACCAAATTATTAGCATCAAAAATGAACAGGGTGAATGAATCGCCTATGGCGATTACGTTAAAGCAATCATTAGGAGTTATTTTGCTTATTCATATACCAACAAAACTGACAATCTAAGTGAAATGGATGAATGCTTATAAAAAATATATAAATTATTCAGATTACAGAAGAGGAAATGGAATACTAAAATAGCCCTATCTTGCAAAAAGAAGTTGGACAAGCCATAAATGAACTCCCTAGGAAAAAAGTCCTCAGGACCAGATGGATTCACAAGTGAATTCATTTGTTTAATTGATCAGTCGTGTCTGACTGAGGTTTTCTTGGCAAAGGTACAGGAATGGCTTGGCATTTCCTTCTGCAGTTCCTACTGTTGTTCCTTTTGTTGTTTCATTCATTGGTTCATTCTTCCTTCTCGAAGAGGACATCAAGAGGGGGATGTCTTAACTTGCAAGTGAATTGGATTTAAGCGAGGCAGAACCTTACAAAGTCATCAGCCTCACTCTCTCCTCCAGAGTCATCGGAGTCCAGTGGCAAGACATAAGTTGAGACGACCGGAGATGGCCCCCTCAGCTCATTTGACAGATGAGGAAACTGAGGCAAACCAGATCAAGTGACTTACCCAGGGTCATACAGCTAGTAAGTGTCTGAGGCTGGATTTGAACACTAGCTGAGTGAGCCTGGCCAAGTCGCTTAACCCTGTTTGCCTCAATTTCCTCATCTATATGGGGAGAGAAAGTAGAAATTGTCTAGAAGACTGTAACCAGCAGTGATCCTTGTAATAGAGTGCATATCTAGCTATTGCCTGCCCTTACCCTTTATGGAAGGGATATTCCCATTTATCAGCTCCTACAAAACATTTGGGACCCCTATAAATAGCAAACAATGCTATTAATAATCCATATGCTGATCCTAGGATTCCAACACATGAAAATATTACGGCATTGAAATTCTGAAAAAGAAAAAAAAGAAGTTATTCTTTACCTCTTTGAGAATAACCTCACATGAATCACTGGTAGGCAAAGCCACTATTCTGATAAAATGGATGATTCCAGTGATTTTTCATGTGAGTGATTGGTTTACTTTGAGGTTTGAAAGATGCCTTCCTCTCAGTAACCACATAAGGTCAATAATGCAAATATTTGTTGAATCATTTTAGTCGTGTCCAACTCTTCAGGACCCCTTTTGGAGTTGTTGTTGTTTTGGTTTTTTTTTTTGCGAAGATATGTGAGTGGACTGCCATTTTCTTTAGCCCATTTTACAGATAAGGAAATTGAGGCAAACAGGGTTAAGTGACTTACTCAGGGTCACACAGCTAGTAAGTGTCTGAGGCTAGATTTGAACTTGGGAGATGACTCCCAGCCTGGTACTCTATCCACTGTACCACCCTAGGGCAAATATTGCTATTCCCATTTTACAGGTGAGGAAATTGAGGCTCAGAAGTTATATGCTCAGCAAGTCACTTTATCTCTACATGCCTCTATTTGTTTCATCTATAAAATGAGGATAAAATTAGTAGTCCTATTTACCTCCCAGAATTGTTGTCAGGCATAAGTGATCTAACATCCAAAGAGTGCTTTGAAAACTTTGAAGTTATATGCCAATGCTGACCAGCCATTATGTGAAAAAGCTTCATGTTGATTTTTTTTTTTGTCACTGGCTTCCAAGGTGTGTCTCCCTTTCCCCCTTTCTTTCCCCATCTTCCTTGCTGTCTTCCTGACTCACTTGGTCCAATACCAACAGAGTGCAAGCCTCCAAAGTGATACTGTGGGGTTATCTTTCTGATCTGCCTAGGCCAGTGATGCCTCTGGGTGTTGCTGCTCCTTACTCACTTACTGAAAGTGACCTCCCAAATGCAGGATGGTTAAAGCATCCCCAGCAGTCAAAGTTCTTTAGCCGAAAGTACACAACAGCAGGGAAAAATATCTGTCGAGAGAAGGAAGAAGAAACAAATAGTGAGTTTTTGCAAGGGGGAAAGAGCTGTAAGGTCCTCTAAGATGACAGCAGTCTCTGTAGCTGACCACTGGAACGTCAGGAGTATAGAACAGAGAACCATGAAGTACATCATGGACAATATTCTTTATTTTGGTCTTCAAATGGTCACCGAACTTGATTAAACATAGTACTGAAATGAGACAGGCGCTCACAACATCTAAACACGTACCCTCTTTCACCAGGTATACGCGGATGGTGAAAGCTAGAAAACCTGTCTTCATTTGACAGAGAAAAAACCTGGTCTGGAAATCCTATGATTTTTTCCCCTTTCTAGCAAGCTAGGTGATGTAATGGACAGAGTGGAGGATCTGGAACCACAAAGACCCAGGTTTGATTTCTGCCTCAAAGACTTTCTAGGTGTGTGACCTTTAATCTCTCTGAGCCTCAGTTTCCTCATCCATAAAATGGGGGTGATAATAGCACTTACTATGTACAGTTGTTGTGAGATCAAATAAGGTAAAGTCTGTAAAGTGCTTTGCACTTAAAGTGATCTACAAACATTAGCTACTCTCATTAGGATTATTTGTACCTGAACAGCACAATCCATGCCTGGGACAAAAATACAATTTTGTGTCAACTTTTTAATCTGGGACCAACTGGAAGGGCTTCCACCAGTTAATGGTAGAAAGGACACAGGCTCTTTTAGTTAACTAGGTGTTAAGCTCACTTATATCTGAGTTGCTCAAAGACAAGAGCTCTTGGGATCATTTAAACTTGGTGCCCTGGGAAAAACTCCCATCACCCTTCCTATTTACAGCTTTGGATATAACTGTAATAATTTCTTGCTATTCAGAACGGATACATACTACGTGAGTATATGATTTCTTTGGTGTTTTTATGGGGGGGGGCAGACATAATATTGTCTTCAATCGGTTCATTGGGAGACAGCAAACAACCCATTTGACCAAAACAGTAAATAGTCAAGAGATTTTACTTTACTGATTTAAGAAGCCAGAGGGCACTTTGCTCATTTTAAGTCCTTATAAAGAACACACAACAACAAGGAAGCTACTACTGTCTTTTTAGTGGCAGTTAGGTAGCTAGTCAACACACATTTGTTACGCACTTATTCTATACCAGGCACTGGGCTATCAGAGACACAAAAAAAAGGTAAAAATTTAGTGCCCAGCACCTCAAGGAGCTCACATTCTAATGGGGGAGACAACACACAAAAATTGTCCATACAAGGTATTTAGTCATTTTTCAGTCGTGTCCTACTCTTCATGACCCCATTTGGGGTTTTCTTGGCAAAGATACTGGAGCGGTTTGCCGTTTCTTCCCTCCAGAGCATTTTTGCAGAGGAAGAAACTGAGGCAAACAGGGTTAAGTGACTTGCCAAGGGTTACACAGCTAGTAAGTGTCTAAGATTGAATTTGAACTCAGGAAGATGAGTCTTCCTGACTCCAGGCCCAGCACTCTGTCCACGGCACCCCCTAGCGCCCATACAAGGTATAAACATTGTAAATAGAAGGTAATCTCAGAGTAAAGGTACCAGCAGAGAGCCAGACTCAGGAAGCAGCAGATGAACATATCCCCAGATGGCTAAGTCTGATGAAAACGAAGGGGCAGGAGCCAGTCCGATGCCCTGGAAGGGGGAAAACGATTTGGGATTTTTGATTCATTTACTCACCAAGATCCCACTTCCCAGAAATCCTCCAAACCTCCAGGCCTCATCGGGAATTTTGTCAGATGATACAAACTGCATTCCAGGGAAGAAGAGGAGACTATTAAGGAATATGCTCATCATCGCCAGAGGCAGGAGTGCCAAACCCAGGCACTGAGTACAATCTGTAGAGCACATCGTACTGACTGATGGACAGACGCCTCTCACCTAGTAAGAAAGCAGCCTCCATAGACCAAGGAGTTACCAGTGCCCCTGGGAAAGTTGACTTGACCAGGCTATGCCAGAGCTGGTGAATGGTTTAGTTCTCTGATGCAGTCCTGAGGGGCTGGTGAGGGGCAGGAGATAGGATTCTAAGGGGTCCTCAAACCCTGTCCCAGAGGGCCACTTCTCAGATATAGGCAGGGCTCCCCACAGCATTCATGGGCTCTTCTTTGATCTGGAAGCTTTTCAGTTTTGTATGTCCATAAAGTTCATTACCTACTGAGTATTCACTTTGCCATGGAGACCAGTACCTTGTATTATTATTCTGGCAATCCAGACCAAAAAAAATTGCATAGCTGGAACTGGGAACTGGAAAGAACACGACTTTAGATCTTCTTTGCTTTCAGCTCTTACAGGTTCATACCCTTGTCCACTATGAAAACACACACACACACACACACACACACACACACACACACACACACACAAAGGAAAAACATAATCAGGTGGCGAGAATTCAACTCCAGAAGCTCCTATCCTTACTCGTAGATGATAATTCCCTGTACCTCAAAAACAAGCCTTTAAATATCTTTGAGAGTTCAGCAATTAAACATACCAGAAGTGGAACATTAGTATAGAGATGGAAGAAACTGTCATCCACAGCCAGTTAGTTGGGCATGACAGTGCTCCCTAAAAACCTGCAAACAATTTTTAGTAGCTATCATCTTGCTGAATATTTGTAATATCCAAACTACATGGAATAAAAAACTTTCAAAATATAGAGACTGTGGAAGTAGAAAGAGGGGCAAAAGTTTGAGGTCTCTCTCCTCTTCATACAGTTTTTTGGGGAAGCAAACCAACTCTTCCCTGTACCACTCTGGGGTCAGTTCATTAGCATGCCCAGATCATCTCAAAGGTATAGATGAAACTTCAAAGCCATCACCTCAGTCATCAGCACCTTTTGATGTTCTGCTGTTGTGGAGCTGTGGAGCCTGGAGTATGGAACTGACCAGAAACCTTGACAGCTGTGCCTAGGTGATTTCCCCTGAATCAGCACATAGTACCAGGATATGAATTTTGGTTAATATATGATACAGTTTGTAAATGATGCTCCTTTGATCTTTGGAATGGTATGTATGTAACTTCTAGATTCCTGCTATTACCACTTCATATTAGCTACTTGCAAACTTACTATGCTGACCAGAGGTAAGAGAGGGTGGTCAGGAGAACCAGAATGAGATACGATTTTAATATGACCCCATTAAGTAACACAATCTTAGGTGTTGTTCTCTCTGTTAGAGTTACAGCAATGAGTCCCACTTTCCTTTGTCTTGTTTATTTAAGCCCTCCTCACTTCTATCTGCCAGTGTATCAAAGAAAAAGTCTTGGTTTGCATTTAAAGACTTCACACCTAGCTCCTACCCTTTCTTCCCAAGATTCTCAGTGACAGGAATTTGAATTCTGAAAAGGGTGGGGAGACCTAGAAAAGGGATATTAAAGAAAGGAGAAAAAAAGAAATTAGAAAATAATAGATTATACTAATAATTTAAATGACTAATTAAAAATTTTAAAAAGAAATCCAATATGGTGGCAACTATGTGCCCCACATCCTACTGGAGATTTTAGAGAATTCCATATTGTACCTTCTTAACACTTTTGGGGTATAGTAAGACTCTCTCCCACATTTATCAAAGCTGTCTTCATATGGGGAAGCCAGAAAAGATGCATCTCTGGCATCCTCTCTGGAAGTTGGAAGCGCCTGAAGAGTCTCAAGATGCAAAACAACTCAAGAGACCAAATCTTTCCTGTCCTGTCCTTGCAAACTCCACCCCCGCCCTCACAGAGGCACAGGTACTGATGTCCACCAATGAGGAGATCACACATTAAGGGTTAACAAGGCTAACTCCTCTATTTGTTCAAGTGGTCCCATTCCATCCCAACACCTCCAAATACTGCACTCTGTATCGTTCCCACTTTTTCATGTATTTGCAATCTCTCCTTCTCTACTGACTCCTTTTCTACTTCCTACAAAAGTACCCATGTCTCCCCCATCTTAAAACAAACCTCACTTGATCTTTCCATCCCTGCTATCATCCTATATCTCTTCTGCCCTAAATTCCTCAAAAAGGCCGTCTACAATAGATGCTTCCCCTTCCTCTCTGCTCACTCCCACTCCCTTCTTATCCCCTTACAATCTGACTTCTAACTTTACCATTCCACTAAAACTGCTCTCTCCAAAGTTACTAATCTTTTAGTTGCCAAATCCAATGACCTTTTCTCAGTCCTCATTCTCCTTGACCCCTCTACAGCCTTTGATACTGTGCATCATTTTCTCCTTCATATTCTCTCCTCTCTATGTTAACAGGATAGTACTATCTCTCGGATTTCTTCCTATTCCTCTGAAGACCCATCTTTATCTGCTTAACTGGATGCTTTTTCCAAATCATGACCTCTAACAATAGGTATCCTTCAGGGATTTATCCTGGGCTGTCTTCTCTTCTCCCAATATACTATTTCACTTTATGATGTCATCAGCTCTCATGGATTTAATTTCCATCTGGAGATGCAAATGATTCTCAAATCTCTATTGACTTCCAATATCAAATCTCTAAATGCCCTTTAGACACTTCAAACTGGACACTCCTCAAACCAGCAGACATCTTAACCACAACATGTCCAAGACTGAACTCCTTATCTTTCCCTTTAAGCCCCTGCCCCATCTTCTCTAATACTATCAAAGACAACACCATCTTCCCAGTCCCTAAGGCTTGCAATCTAGGAGTCATCCTCAATCCTTCACTATCTCTCACCCCTCATATCCAAGCTGTTGCCAAGACCTATTGATTTCCCCTTTACAACCTCTCTCAAATATTCTCCTTTCTCTTTGACACCGCTACCACTTGGGAGCAGGCCCTTATCACATCACACCTAGATTATTGCAATAGCCGTTAGTGGTTCTGCCTGCCCCAAGTCTCTCCTCCCTCCAATCCATTCTCCATTCAGCCACCAAAGTGATTTTCCTAAAGCACAGGAGTAATCATATCACCCACTTCCCCTCAATAAACTCCATTGGCTCCCTATCACCCCTAGGATGAAACACAAGATGCTGTGTTGACATTCAAAACCCTTCATAACCTAGCCCTTCCACCCCGACCTTTCCAGTCTTCTTACATGTCACTCCCTGACCCCTACTCTTTGTTCCAGGGACACTGGCCTCCTTCCTGTTCCACAAACAAGACACACCATCCCTTGGCTTTGGGCATTTTTTCTGTCTCCCATAACTGGAATGCTTTTCCCTTCTCCATTCCAACTACTGCTTTTCCCGGCTTCTTTTAAGTCCCAACTAAAATCCCATCTTTTACTTGAAGTTTTCTCTAACCCCATAATTGTAGCACCTCCCTGTGTTATAATTACTTGTTATTTATCTTATATGTAGCTCACTTCACATATATGTATTTGCTTGCTGTCTCTTTCATTAGTCTGTAAGCTCCTTGAGGGCAGGGGCCGTCTTTTGCCTCTTTTTGTATCCCAAGAGGTTAGCACAGTGCCTGGCCCATAGTGGGCACTCAATGTTTGTTGACTGCTGACTAATGCCACTGTACTGTCACACTGCTCCTGGTGCCATCTGGTTTGCAGATGGGATAGCCCCCAAGTTTTCCCCAATCCTAAGCAGCCATGGGAGCAGAGCTCCTGTACCAAGGCAAGTGCCCAGCCTGGCTTCCCAAGCCTAAGGACTCATTGTTCCTGTAGTGATAGGCAAATAACCATTTAAACATTTCCATTTCCTCTAGTTCTTTACCTTTTTGGTTCATGGGTTCCTTTATCAATCTGGTGAGATAAAATAAGCAAGTGATAATATAAGTCTATGAGCATCCCTGTTGCATTTTGGGGAGCCCCTTTTACACATATCATGCTTTATTTTTCTCCAGAACATGAAAATGGAATCTAGTTGAGCAACACAGGTATCAGCTTCACAAGCTAACAAACTGAAGAGACAACTAAGTGACTGTGTTTCACGTAACTGTGGCTAATGGCTTGCAAGTGAGAGCATTCCTGGTGGACACGTGCTAATCTTATTTTGCTGAGGGTCTAGGGTCTCCTGCTTTAGACAAAGAAGTAAAATTACTTAATGGACTTGGAGTTACCATTTCCCAGTTGTGTAACCCTGGGCCGGTCACATTACCAAGCTTCAGTTTCTTCATCTGTACAATGTGGACAGTAACAGTAACCAGTGGAGTTGTTGTGAATCTCAAAAGCCCTAGGTAAATGAGGATGTAAAAGGAGTGCTCCATGAGACCTGTCAAAGCTGGAGGTGAGAAGAGGCTGAAAGAGAAAGACATGGAAATAGGAAAGACGGGTGCCTTCCAATGCAGAGTAGATATTCTCTACCTGAAAAGGACCTAAGGCCTGAAGAACTTAATAGCATATGAAGAGGACAGTGAGATAATGAACTTGACTTTATAGCAGAGATTGCATTCATATCTTTGAACCTGGCCATTCATCTTCATAAGATCCTAAAAGGAGTGTGGGAAATGGAACTGGACTGGATTAGATCAATATAATGGATACCATTCTTAACCTGGTATTCCAGAGAACCTTAATGGGTCCGTGGATAGATTTCAATAGATTCATGAACTTGGATGGGAAAAAAATAACTTTATTTTCATTGACTTCCCATTAAAATTTAGCATTTCCTTCAACTGTGATTTTTTTCTTTTTAATTTTATTTCTTTTTAACATTTTTTCTTTTTTAAGTTGTGAGTTCCAGATTCTATCCCTCCCTCCCCCACCCACTGAGAAGGCAAACAATATGATATCAATAAAATATGTGAAATAATGCAAAACAAATTTCTATGTCAGCCATATTCCCCCTCCCCCAAATAAAGTAAGAATAACAAAGAGAGAAAATTATACTTTAATTTATCCTCAGAGTTCATCAGTTCTCTCTCTGGAGGTGGTAGCATTTTCTAATCATGAGTCCTTTGGAATTGTCTTGCGTCACTGTGTTGATCAGAATAGCCAAGTCTTTCACAGTTGATCCTCATTATAGCACTGCTCTTCCTGTACACAGTGATCTCCTGGCTCTTCTCACTTCACTTTGGATCAGTTCATATAGGGTTTTTTCTGATACCATTCCCCTCATCATTTCCCACAGCACAATGGTTTTCCATGAGCATCATATGTCACAACTTGTTCAATCATTCTTCAATCAATGGGCATCCTCTCGATTTCCAATTCTTTGTCACCACCAAAAGAGCTGTTATAAATATTTTTGTATATATAGGACCTCTTCCTTTTTTCTCTGACCTCTTTGGGATACAGGCCTAGTAGTGGTATTGCTAGGTCAAAGGGTATGCATATCAATTATAAATTCTTCAGAGAAGGGGCACCTAGGTTTCACCACACTGTCGGAAGAGATCTGTGACACAAAGATGGTTAAGGACTGTGGCCCTAAAGTAAGGTGGAGTAAAGTAAAGTAAAGTAAAGTGAGGGAAAGGGACTCTGAGTCAGGAAGGATATGTGGAACAGACCTCTCTGAGCTCCTGCCTGGAGGTAACAAAACAACCTCAGAGCTAGGGTTCTGGGGGAGTCAAAGGAAGAGATTTTTGCTGATCCTAACCTAAGCTAAAAGGTCACTGAGTAACTAGGTGGTGCAGTTGATAAAGCACTGGAAGTGGAGTCAGAAAGGCCTGAGTTCAAATCCAGCCTCAGACACTTACTAGCTGTGTGACCCTAGCAAGTCATTCAACCCCTATTATATCAGCTGCCTCATCTATAAAATAGAGATCATAACAGCACCTACCTTCTAGGTAAGTCATTTTGCCTCTCTCTACCTCAGTTTCTTCATCTATAAAATGGGAATTATTATTGCATTTACCTCCTGGGGAAGTCATTTAACCTTTATCTACTTCAGTTTCTTCATCTGTAAAATGGGGATTATAATTGTGCCTACCTCCCAGGGTTGTTGTGATGATGAAATGAGATAAAAATTATAAAGCACTTAGCACAGTGCCTGGCACAAAATAAGCATTATATAAGCATTAGCTAGTGTTATTATTGCTACTGCTATCATCAACATCATCATTGCTCTTGCTGAAAGAACACCATCTCAGTCCGGCTAAAGAGTATAATCTCACACATCAGAATCCTATTAAAGGGCAAGCCCAGGAGGCCAGCAGATTGGCCTATGAGAAGACTCCAGTGGCCAATCAGCTCCCATAGCCCAGCAGAGCAGGAGCAACCCAAGAAGCCAGGAGGTACCATCCAGTAACCACTGCCCAGGGTGGCACCACCTGGCCGGCACCACCTTGCACTGTCCAGCAGCCACTATCCAGGGTGGTGCCACCTGGGCTTCCAGGAACTGTCCAAAAGCCACCCATCCAAGGCAGCACCACCTGGCCAACGCTGCCAGGCAGCCGCTGCCCAACAGCAAAGCTATCTGCCTGCCCATCTAGCAGAGAAGCTGTCTCTTTTGAGAAGCCAGCCCAGCTGATTATTCCATCCCTTTGAGAGGATTTTCCAGAGAAAGAAATGACATCAAGGTCAAAGCTGTGAGTTGCCTTGCCACAGAGGCTCCCTCTCCAGTGCCTCACTATCACGACACTTCGCCTTTGCCTTTGCTAAAGACCTAAGTCTTCTGGCTGACTCTTAAGGGGAAACACACAAGATAGTGTAAGGACTATACGGATCCACACGGTTATCCTTAGAGCCCTGAAAGCTTTAGCAACCACTCTTCTGGGGAATCATCTTTGCCAATGTGACCATCAAAGCTGGGCAAGTGATCCCAGAGAGGGGTATTACCTAAGTTTTTGTTTTTTGAGACAATGGAGTTAAGTGAGTTGCCCAGGGTCACACAACTAAAAAGTGTCTGAAGCTGGATTTGAACTGAGGTCTTCCTGATTTCAGGGCCAGAGGTCTATCCATTCTACCACCTAGCTGCCCAGGTTATTGCACAAGTTAAAGAGAATTTCGTTTCATTTAATTTACTCAACAACTACTAAGTTACTAGTTACCATGGGGGCAAAGAAAAAAAGCCACGGATGATACAATCTCTTCTCTCAAGGAGCATACAGTACTTGGGAAGAGACAGAATAATGTCAGTTTATAAAGTGCCTGTGATTACATCCATGTGGGAACAACCTCCCTATAACTTGTGGTCCCAAGACAGTTGCCTGAGGCTCAGAGATTAAGTGACTTGCCCATGGGCACGGTCATAAGGCAATGTAGTCTCTGACTACCCAGTCCTGCATTCTCCCCAATTCACCACATTGCCTCTAGGGCTAAGAAATGAAACGATCTGAAAAGAAAACAAGAATTGTAGTCTCCAACCTAGAGACATGCTTGTTTAGCAACTCAGCCTGTATTTTCCCACATAAATTAAATTATGAGTCATATTATATTATAAATGTAGTCAGGATGTCCAGATCGCTCACCAAAGACCTGTTTAGCAGGTCTGTTGTTGTGTGCCGTGTGTAAAATTCATTCTCTGGGGAACTCATTTTGAGTTCCATCTCCGGTGCTGAGGACTCCTAGATTCTAGAGATGAAAGGACCTTAGAGGCCAGATCTACTCTCATCCCTTCATTTTACAGATGAGAAACCGAGGTCTCTAGAGTGAAGTGCCCAAGGACCCCCAGGTGTCCCCATTCCATCCTATTACCCTTGCCACTATAACTATTGGTCAAAGATAGAGACTACAAGCCCAGCCCCAAATTTGATGCTCTGGAGAACGAAGAAGCAAGAAAAGACACATCCCCTGGCCTGGGGGAGCTTACATACTTGGAAGGGAAACAACCCTGTGGCACATGAAACCAACATAGAAGATGGTACAATAGTTCATATATTTAGGTGTTGAATCATGTGGTTCAATAGCCAGGCTGTTGGCATACGATTCTTGATTCTCCCCCATAGTCAATATCTCTTGCATCTATACTCTTGTAGGTTTTCTCATTCTATCCTCACAACCAGCCTGTGAGATGGATTCTATCATTATCCCCATTTTAGAGATAAGGACACTGAATGAGAGAGCTTAAGGGGCTTTCCCGTGGTGACACAGCTAATTAAATTTAAAATGGGACTTGAGCTCAGCTCTTCCTAAAACCAAACCCAGCATTCCCTCCTTTCAGACACCTAGCTAGCTGCCTCGTGGCTAAAGGGCTAGCCTTAGAGTTAGGAAGACCCCAAAGCACCTTATAGTGCCTCTGACATACCCTAATAGTATGACTATAGGCAAGTCCTGTAATACCTGAGGGCCCTGCACATCCGAAGCTAAAAGTCACAGAACAGGAGCCTGTCTTGTATTGCTGGAGGCAAATTCCATATCCCAAACCACAGCTCCCCCTCCAAAGGAAGAAGAGAATACGGAACAACACTTTGACCTTCATCTGTGACCTTCTCTATCGAGGGATCTGCATTTGCGCTTTGCAGCCCCACCTCCACCTGTGAGCCAGTGGCTAGCCAGAGCCTAGCTGGCAATTTTCTACCTGTAACCTGGAAAAGTCACTTAACCTCTATCTACCTTAGCTTTTTCCACTGTAAAAAGAGGATTAATTATAATGCCTTCCTCCCAGGGTTGTGGTGAGGATCAAATGAAATATTTTTGTAAGGCACTGGCATACAGTAGGTGTTTAATACGTTTGTTCTTTTTCTCTCTCCCTTCCCATTCCCTTCTCTCTGCTCCAAATGCACCACAGCTCCTGGCAGGTAGCAGCTGTTGGGCTGGAAGCCTAATATAGGCTGGCTCCCAGAATGTCCTGGAAAGTTTGGCGTTAATTCCTAGGACTCCCTGGGAGAAAGGCTCCAATTCCTCCCAAATGCTGGGGTGGCGTGGAAGTCTCAGACAGGCCATGGCTGCTCCCAAGGCAGGCTCAGGGTCTGAGAGAAATAAGATAAAGAAATCGGGCTTTTTCCCCGATGTTTTTACCAATCCAGACCTCAGTATTGCCTAGATCCCAGCTCAATATTTTTACCTGAATGGTTCCAATTTTCTCCGGATGTGCGGCACTGGATAAACCGGCAGTTCTTAACCTGGGTTCTATGAACTTGATTTTGAAAATATTTTGCTAAATGTACTCCAATATAACTAGTTTTCTTTATAATCCTGCGTGCTTTAGGCGATTCAAAATTTTCGTTCTGCCGGGGCGCCCAGGCTGCCTTAGGGCTACGAACAGGCACAGTGTGCCCAGGCAGAGACCCCGTTTGGAGGCGATCCCACCAACCTGTTTGGAGGCCGGCCCAGACTCCGCCGAAGAGCAGAACACTCAGCCCCCAAGAACCTTCCACTCTCAGTTATCCCGTCGTCCCCCCCCCCCCGAATTACTTGTATCTACATTGAGTTCCTACTTACCTCCGTTTTTGTTGTTACCTCGGGACTGGGGTGCGATGACTGTTGGCGGCAGAGTAACAATCAAGAAGCAGGAATCTTTGCAGCAGTTACGGGGCTGCCTCATTGTACTGGGCTCGCGGGGATGGGGGGTGGGAAGAATAAACCGCTGGTAAATCGGTGGGGGGACTCGCAGTTGGGCTGGCCAGGCAGTTAGAACTTTGGAAAGGGCTGGCGCTAGCGGATGAAAATGGGGCCAGAGGTGCTAGCTAAGAACTAGAGAAGACAGAGATAAGGGGAGCATTCCTCCTTAAAGCTCAGCACAAGCCGTCATCTTCGAGAGGCCATTCCAAGCCCAGACCCTTCCAAGCACTGTATTTCTTTTGTACCCATCCTAATACCTACCAGTGATCCAGTCGTATCTGTCATCTCCAACATAAACTTACAGAAGGCAGATACTTATCCCACCAGGTACTCCTGTACCTCAGCCCAGCACCTTGGTGGGTACTTCGTGAATCATTCCGCAGACGTGGTAGGGGAGGAGGAGAGGACTGGAGCCTTTGATAATAGACCCATTGAGGAGCTGAGGCAGGAGGGGAGAGGGTGAGAAGCCAGCTGGGTGGTTGGAAAGTATGGGGAAGAGGCCCAAAGCCATAGGAAAGAGAAGAAGGCCTTTAAGCACAGTCTGGGAGATATTAATTTGAATGAGAAATGATTTGTTAAATGGAATTGAATCTTGTCTAGCAGAGTGGATTGAGTCTTCAGGCTCAAGAGCTATTATTAGGCATTTAAGTTTATATCATTCCTGAGTTGGGGGAGATGAGCATATTTTGATTACCATTAGACTGTTTTTGCAGAAAGCAATATGGGTTTGTACAGCAAAGCACTGTACCAAAGGTACAAAATATTTTAGAAATATTATATATCATTATAAAAATAACCATGTGTATTACCTACTAAAGAGACTCAAATCTATGATCTCATCACTTCTGGAGTTCCTCTACTGATATAGATGGCAGCCTCTCAGTACCTGCCAATCCATGGTGATCCTTCTCCATGTTCTCCTAAAATGCAGCCACAGGGAGCCCAATCAACATTTTGAAAGCCTTCCTCAATTTGATGACCAAGAACCAAGTTTTGAACTCGGGTCTTTCAGGATTGTACCAATGTACACACTGCCCCACCTAGACTCTAAAAGCTGAAGCTGGGTGGCATAGTGGATAGAGTGCTGCGCTTGGAGTTGGGCAGACGAGTTTGAAGCTCTTCTTCAGACCTCTGCTGGCTGTGTGAATTTGGGTAAGTTAGCTATGTCTCCCGGACTCTGTTTCCTCATCTATAAAGTGGGGATAATATGACAGGATTGTTCTAAGAATCAAATAGATTAATCTGTAAAGGAATTTGCAAGCTTTAGAGCCAATCAGTCAATACACATTAAGTGTTTACAATGTACCAGGGTGGGAATAAAAAGAAGGGAAAAAAAAAATCTCACGGCCCTTAACTCAAGGAGCTCACATTCTGATAGGGAAAACAACATACAATTGTGTCTGTACAGGATAGATAACTATGTATGGAACGTAATATCAGAGGGAAGGTACTTGTGGGTGGGAGGGAGAAAAGAGTGGAATGGGGAAAGGCTTCTTGAAGAAGGTGAGTTTTGAGCTAAATCTGGAAGGGACTGGACTGACCACATGCAGAGAAAAGGAATAGGAATCAAATGACAGCTCTACTGCTCACACCCGAGACTGAATCATAGATCCAGTGCTGACTGAGAAGTGGACCTGTACCTAAGGTCAGAGGACTAGGGCAAGGGATGGTCACAAACCTAAAGCTGTATACTGAGTAAGCAGAAGCTGTTTGGCTCTGGCCCTGGAGTAGGGTCTTGGATTCAACCCCGTTGTTGGTCTAAGGTCTGCACCTGAATAACCAGGGCAAGGAACTCAGAATAAGGACTAGTCTATGAGGCTGCAGCCAGTAACAATCTACTGGAGCTCCACCCAGGGGGCAAAGCCACAGTTCTGTTGCCTAGACTTAGACTGGGGTCAGACATTTGCAAAGCTGAGTAGGAGGGCAGCCATCAGACTGCCCAGATCAGTTTGCTTGTACACACTGTCAGCTTGCAGGTCCCTGCCCTGAACTATTCCTGAAATCCTTGAATACAGCACTCAATACTCAGAGAACATAACCCAAGAACATAAAAACCAGGAGTAATCAAAGTTCAGAACTTCATATGTAAAGCCAAAACCCTGTGTATATGTGACCTTTTTATCACTGAGTGCCATAGGGTATAAGCCTAGCCAGGCCCTCTGGGTCAGAGGGTAAGGACTTTTTTAGTCACTTCCTTAGCAACATTTCAAATTGCTTTTGAGAATGGATCATTCATAGCTCCACCAACAGTTTATACATGTACCTGTCTTTCCATGATCCCTCTAAGATCCACTTTGCCATCTTTTGTCACATTTTCCAATTTTCTAGAAGAGATGAAACTTTCCAGTTCATTTTATTTGGAGCACTTTAATGTTCTATTTAATAGTTTCCAGTTTGAGAATTGTTTGGTCATGTCTCTTAAAGACCTATCTGTTGGGGAATAGCTTTTGGTCTTAAATATTTTGTTAGTTCTCTGTTTTTTTGAATATAAAACCCTTACCAGAGATACTCGATGCAAAGATTTTTTTTTCCCCTGGTTGACCACTTCCTTATCTTAGTTGCACTGATTATGTCTGTACAAAAAAAAAAAATTTAAGGATACATACATGTTTTTATCTTTTTGCCATCATCTCTGTCTCTTGGTTTGGTTAAGAACTCTCCCATTATCAATATATGAAAACTGCCTGACATGGCTCCCTGACACTTTTTCTATGGTACAAAGTTTAATATTCAAGCAGATATCTATTCTGAGCTTATGATATAAGACTGTGGTCAAATCTATCTTGTGCCAAACTGTTTTCCGGTTATTCTAGTAGTTCTTGTTAAAAACAGAGTTCTTTCCCAAGTAACCTGTGCTCTGACATTTGCCAAATAGCATATGCTTGAATTCAGGTATTTGTCTCATAGTTATCTAATTTCTTTTCCTGACCCGCTTTTCTCTTTTTTAACCAGTACCAAATAGTTTTAATGATTATCACTCCATAGTATAATTGGGGGTCAGGAAGTGTTATTCTTCATTCATTCCTCCTTTTTATTTTCACTGTTTCTCTTGAGATGCTATTCCTTTGCATGCTACAAATGAATTATTTTGTCTAACTCTATAAAGTACCCCCCCTTTCTAGTTTAACACCAGCATAGCACTTAATCTGTAAATAAATTTAGCAGCAATCTGTAAATTGCATTGGTAAGGCCCAGCCACCAACAGTAAATATCCTTCCACGTATTTGAGCTTTAAAGAGAAATTTTCAATTGTTTCTGTCTATAAAGGTCTTGTGTTTGCCATGGTAAATTGACTTTCAGATATTTTAGGTATCTTGAATGGGAGTTCTCTTTTCTATTAATCCTTTCCAGATTTTGCTGTTATATAAATATTTTGTAAATTGTTTGTGGGTTTATTTTGTGTCCTACCACCATAATGAAGCTATTATTTCAGTTAGTTTTTGTTGATTTTCTAGAATGTTCTAAGAAAGCCATTGCCATCAGCAAGTAAGAATTATATTATATTTTTGGGCTTATATTTATTTATGCATTGATTTCTATTGTCTTATTCCTATCAGCAGCATTTCTAGGACTCTGTCAAATAACAGAAGAGAAAGAAGGAATCCTTGCTTTACTTCTACATGTATGGGGGGAAAACAGTTTTCAAACTGATTATAACACTAGCTTCTAATTTTTAGATACTTTAATCATATTAAAAATAGTCATTCTCTGCTTTGTACAGATTAGTGTTATTTTGTTAAGGGTTTTTTCTACATCTATTTATATAATTATGTGGTTTTGGACACTTCTATTTTTAATAAATGATTAACTATGTTAATTGTTTTCCTAATGTTGAATCATCCACACATTCCTGGTATAACATCAACATTTTATACACAAACACACACACACATATAGGCATATATATGTATATGTGTGTGTGTGTGTGTATACACACACACACACACACACGCGTGTACATACTATATGTAGTTTTGTGTGTGTATACTCATGTCCCTGGTATAATGCCAACATATATGTTTATCAAGGAGATTAAAAAGTAAACTCAAATACACAGCAAAATATTCATAGCACAGGTGTGCGTGTGTGTGGTACCAAAGGACTGGGGAAAAGTGGGCATCCATTAGCTGACTATCAGCTGAATAAACTGGCACATATGAATGTCATATGTATATACATATATATATATATATATATATATATATATATATATATATATATATAATCTATAATGGAATATCATTGTGCAGGGTCACAAGCAATTCAGAGAAATATGGGGAGAGATAAATTGATACTGGGTGAAATGATCAGAAGAATACTATCTATGATGACAATAATGCAAACGAAGAGGAAGCTGAATCCTGAGTAATTACAAAAGCCCTAATTAATCCCAGTAAACAGACAATAAGATATACTCTTCTTGTCAGAGAGGTGGGAGGCAACCAGGGCAGATTGTTTCATATGTTGTCAGATGAGGTCACTCACTGTATCAGTGACTTTTGCTTAGCTGTCAAAAGAATGGCTTCAAGTGTGAAGGGGCAGGGTAGAGCCAAAAATGAATGAGATATAAAAGCCCAAGATATCAATTTAAAAGGTAAAGTTAGTGATTAATAAAGCTTTAGTGACAAGTACGTCAGAAATCACTGACTGCTCCTGTTTCATGTTTATTATTTTCTCTGAAATGCTGGTAAACAGAAAGCATTCTTAGTACCCTCTTCATTTGGGGGCCCTGAAACAAAGCTCCACTTGTTCAGCCCTGGTTGCGACTGTCCCTCTAAATCTGATCATTGTTCAGCCACTGACTAGCTATGCGACCTTGAGCCAGTCATTGAAACTCCCTGGTGCCAGCTTCACTTGTAAAATGGGGCAGAGAAGGACATCCATTGCAAGATCTCCTAGGTCTCCTCAGCCTTGACATCTTGAATTCATGAAGGAGAACAGTCACTAAACTAGTGAGTGTCAGAACCAAGATTAGAATCCAGGTCTTTGGCTTCTCGGCTTAAGGCTCTTTCTACCAAATCACTGGCAGTGCAGTGAACAGGGCATGGAGTTACAGAGACCTGAGTTCAAATGTGGCCTCACATACTTAGCCGTGTGACCCTGGGCAAGTCACTTAGCCTCTGTCTGCCTCAGTTTCCTCAACTGTAAAATGGGGATTATAAAAGCACATAATTCCCAAGGTTGTTCAGAGGTTCAAGGGAGAAAATATTTGTAAAAAGAGCTTAACACAGTGTCTGGAATATAGTAGGAACCATATAAATGTTTATTCCCTTCTCTCTCTTCACCAAATCAAGATGTACCTCCACGGGTCCCATCTTCTCAGTTGTTTTGTTATCTTTATATGCCCCTAATCATAATGACCCGCGTACCCTACTGCAAGGAGTTAAAAAAATGGCCTCCTCTGGAGATAATCTTGTTTCTATACAAAACAGAAGCATATCACTTAATAACTGGCAAAAGGACTTCTCCAAAATCATTTTTCTTTACACATTTTGACATTTTTTGTTGGAGAGAGGAGTCAGGAAGCATTCCTAGTAAAGCTAACAGGATCACTACTAATGTGTTAATTATTTTTCCTCTTTTTGTTTTGGGTACCTTATACTGAAATCAAAGGGGAAAAATGGAGGCATCAGAGATTATGGTAGAGGCAAAAGGCCTATCACAAACAATGCAAAGAAAATTACCTCAAGACATCAAATAATGTCATATGTGTTACATTTCTTCCCTCACAAGCCTTTGTGAAAACCTTCATTTGCTCACCCCTAAGAATTTCCTTGGGGATCAGGCAAGCATTCCAAAAGATAAAAATGTTTATTATCCCCCTATATTGGGTGGCATGAGGTGTCTAGTTTTATAACCATAAGATGTTTAAAGATGACTTGGCTTATGCCCCTAGGTCTCAAAAATAAGGCTGTATCTAAAAAACAGTTAACTTAAACTTATAGTCACTATTGACAAGCATTTCTTAAAGTTTAACAAAAAACACGTTTGTTACTCTCAAAGAACATTTTATTATTTTTCTTATTTTTTAAACTAATTTTCTAACACAGATTTTGAAATGGACCTAAGTCCCTGAAGGGTTTGTGCCAAGGACTTCTTGGTGAGCGTACTGGGGATGAGGAACTTTCCAAAGATGGTGGCTCTTGGGCCAAGGTAGTTGAATATTTCACAGGGCACATCACAGCTTTAAGAACTCTCTACCTGCCAAGACAAACCCAGGGATATGTGAACACAATTCCAAAACACTTTTCACACAAATAAACATAAATTAAATAAAAATGAATTACAAAACACTTTTCACGCAGGCTGAGTCAGTATAAGAAAAATAACAATTATACCTAAATTAATTTACTTATTCACTGGCATACCAGTCAAACTGCCAAAGAATTATTTTGTGGAGCTAGGAAAAAATGACAAAATAAAAGGTCACGAACATCAAGGGAATCAACTTTTTAAAATGTGAAGGATGGTGGCCTAGCAGTACCAAATTTCTATGTTACAAAGTGATAATCATCAAAACAATCTGGAATTGGTTAAGATGCAGGATCAGAAAAATAGATTAGATACAGACCCTAGTAATCTATTGTGTGATAAACCCAAAGATGCAAGCTTTGAGGGCAAGAATTCACCATTTGCCAAAAACTGCTGGGAAAACTAGAAAGCAGTTAGGCTGAATCACTAGGAATAGACCAACATGGACAAAATGGAGAAATGATTTAGACGTAAAGGATGGTATAAGTAAATTAGGGGAGCAAGGAAAAATTTACCTGTCAAATTTATGGATAAGGAAAGAGTTTCTGACCAAACAAAAGACGGAGAGGATCATGGGAATTAGAAGGATAATTTTGGTTGCCTGAAATTAAAAAGGTTTCCCACAAATAAAACCAATGAAGCCAAAATTAAAACGAAAACAGGAAATGGGGAGGGGGGGTGGGAGGGAAGGAATTCCTGCAAATTTCTCTGGTAAAGGCTTCATTTCTTAAACATATAGGGTACTGAGCCACATTTAAAAGGATATGAGTCATTCCCCAGTTGATAAATGGTCAAAGGATATGAACAGGAAGCTTTCAGAAGAAATCAAAGCTATCAATAGTTACATGAAAAAATTCTCTAAATCATCACTGATTAGAGAAATGCAAGTTAAGACAACTCTGAGGTACTACGTCACATCTGTCAAATTGTCTAATGTGACAGAGATTACAGACCCAAGGACACGACACAGGCTTACAGACCTGCACCCTGGTCCTTCCTCCCTCTTTCTAGTGTGGTAGGGAGCCCAGATCCAGGTTGCAGAAGTTTGCTCAGATCCCAATAGCCAGTGTGGCCACAATTCTTCATGGGCAAAAGCCTGCTAGAGGCTGAAACCCAGAAACTCCAAAACTGTTGCTCATGCCAAAAGCAACCTCTGCAGGTGCCAGGGAAGCCAGCCTCTGACATTACAGAAAAGGTAGGCTCTGAATTGCTGGAGCTAGGCCAGAGACCTAAGGAACAGAAGGAGTGGGAAAGGCCCCCAGAGCAGGACTCTGTGTATAAGAGGCTGTGCACCATTCCACCAAGTCTCAGGGAAGAGCACAGCATCCAGGTGGGGTCAGTTCTGACCACAGAGCTGGAACAGAGACCTGGGCTGGTGAATTGTGAATTGCCCAGTGAGATGTTTTGAGATCCAGCCCCCAGAGAAAACCACAATCAGAAGGGAGGGAGTCAGAAGTGAATAAGGAAAATGGGGAGGTGGGTTGGGGGTAGACTAAAAGTACCAAAGATTCCAGGAAGAGAAAACTCTCAGAGACCTTAAACATAAACGGACAAATCAAGAGGGAAAATAGCAACAACAGAGGGAAACATAGCTTCCAGATCTAGTAAAAAAAAAAAAAGTCCAGGCATCCATAAGTAAATACTAGAAAACAAAGAGAAACGATCCAACATTTGAGGAGACCAAGGACCCTGTGGAATATGAGGAGAACATGAGAACACACAACATACTGTTTTTGAAGTGATTTAAAAGAGAAATGAGAATTATGAGAGCAGAATGTATGTTCCGCACAGGGAAAATAACGAGCGGGATGGAAAAACTTAAATCTATGATGGCAAGCCTCATCAAAGGAACGAAAAAGAACACAAAAGGTTGGGAATGCAAATACACAGAAGTGAAAGACAACCTAGAAGGAAAAAAAAACAACATTAAAAGAAACTGGTTGGGCAACTAACATTTTGGTTTATCTGTCCAGGTCAACCATAGGTGCTCTCAATGCTGCACAAAGTGCAAAATTGTAGCTTCTAAGATCCAACCAATGAACTGTGGCTCTAATGAAGGGACTTTTGGGTACCCATCTGGTTCTCTGCTGATACACAGAAAAAGGCAAAATCTACGTGGGTCTATTGTCCAAAGAGCCCTCATCTTCTGAGTGGATTCAGATGGTCACAGAGGAACATGAAAATGAGCAATTATTAACTTTCCCCTGGGTTGTACTTACACAGAGTGCAACATGCACCTAAAAGCTTCAGAACAGTACATGAATGCTGCTCATGCCCACCTGCTCATGCCAGGGCACAAACTGAGGGGGACCTTCACACTGACCCCCACAACTTCCTATTTTTCAAATAATTCCTGTGTGAGTAAGGGGAAAGTAAGGATGATTCATGCCCACAGTAAACATTTACTAAGTGACAACTATGTCTGAGGCATTGTGCTGGGTGCCAATAATGCAAAGACGAAAGTGTCACCATTGCTATCTTCAAATAACTTGGTATGGCAGTCCTGAGTAGAGTAAAAGCAATCCTTTCTACTTAGGACATGTATCCTATAATGTCATCCTAGGTAGATATTAAAGTGGTCTTGTCAATTTTCGGGGAGAACTGATTTCATAGGTGTGTGACAATTGCTTGTAGAAACTCAATCTATGGATGTAGATGGTAGTACCTCAGTAATTAAGAGTCTTGGACAGTGGCCTGGGGCTCTGAAAAATTAAGTGACTCAGCAATGATCCTATAGGCACATATTTTATTTTATTTATATATGCCTGTGTGCACTTATGCATGGGGGGGGAGAGAGAGTGAGAGAGAGAGAGAGAGAGAGAGAGAGAGAGACAGAGAGAGACAGAGAGAGAGACAGAGAGAGAAGAGAGAGAAAGGGAGAGAGAGAAGAGACAGCAGAGAGAAAAAGGGAGGGAGAGAGACAAAGAGAAAGGGAGGGAGAGAGAGGAGAGAGGGGAGAGAGAGAAGAGGGAGAGAGGGGAGAGAGGGGAGAGAGAGAAGAGGGACAGAGAGGAGAGAGGGAGAAACACAGAGAGAGAGAGAGAGAGAGGGAGAGAGAGAGAGAGAGAGAGAGAGAGAGAAGAGAGAGAGAAGAGAGAGAGAAAGGGAGAGAGAGAAGAGAGAGAGAAAGGGAGAGAGAGAAGAGACAGCAGAGAGAAAAAGGGAGGGAGAGAGACAAAGAGAAAGGGAGGGAGAGAGAGGAGAGAGGGGAAAGAGAGAAGAGGGACAGAGAGGAGAGAGGGGAGAGAGAAAAGAGGGACAGAGAGGAGAGAGGGAGAAACACAGAGAGAGAGAGAGAGAGAGAGAGAGAGAGAGAGAGGGAGGGAGGGAGGGAGGGAGAGAGAGAGAGAGAGAGAGAGAGAGAGAGAGAGAGAGAGAGAGAGAGAGAGAGAGGAGACAACAGAAAGAGAGAGACAGAGAGAAACAGAGAGAGAGGGAGAGGGAGAACAGACAACAAAGAAAGAGAAGGAGACAGAGAGAAATAGAGAGGGGGAGGGGAGGGAGAAGGAGAGGGAGAGGGAGAAGAGAGAGAGAGGGAGAGAAGAGAGAGAAACAGAGAGAGGGAGAGAAAAGAGAAAACAGAGAGAAAAACAGAGGGGGTGGGGAGAAGAGACAACAGAGAAAGAAAGAGAGAAAGAGGTGGGGGGAGGAGGGGAAGGTTTGAACATAGGTCTTCCTGATTCCAAGCTAGCCCTCTATCCAAGGGCCCTTCAGTCTTGCCAGTAAAAGGCTCCAGTAACCTGAAGGCCCATTTATTTTTTACAAACACATTACTGTTATCATTGTGTGGGAGACAGAACCCTGAACTTGTTTTCAGGAACACCTGGGTTAAAATCAGCCTTTTATCCTTCCTAGCTATGTGATCACATCTGAGGCTCAGACATCTATGACAAACTGATTACTACAGAGGAAATAAAGACTTTAAGCAGTGCAGGTAAATGTTTTGCTGGGTTTTTTCTGTTTTGCACCAGGGAAATAAAATTGCTTTTCTTTGATCTGAGTTTATATTTTGAGGGTTATGTTGGCCTTGTTTAGACATGATCATCATTATGTTGCCGAGAGGCAAACATACAAGAACAGAACTGGGGGATCTGCTACCCTTGGATTTCAGCCAGGAAAGAGGTTTGACTTGGTTGTATTTAAGATACTTTCTTGGTAAATACTCAAAGATCTGTGAATACAATAAAATTGAAAGAAAAAAATCCATTATTTTTATTCAATTTTTACAGAAACTCTTAGATGAGCTGCCTAACCAAAAATGAATTTCATCAAATTCTCTTTTTTTTAAAAGCACTGTTTTTTTGAATTCTAAAATTCAAACAATCACCCCAAGTCTTCTGTCTTCCTAGTCCTTCCTTAATGACAGAGGACATACCCTCCCTGTTAAGGACTTTTCTCTCCTTAATCGTTTCAGGACCTGTCTATTGATCTGTCTGGAAAATAAAGACACTGTCACTGCTTAGCTCAAGCAAAGAGACCAAAATTTCCCATCCCAATGTGATAGAGGCCACAGGATCCTCTGGCCCCTGGGAATGGGGAACTGCAGAGTGGCCAATTTTTCAATCAGCCTGTGACTTCCAACCTTTGGAGCCCTCTGCCCCATCCTTGGTTAATTTTCTAAAAGCAAAACTTGGAGCTGTAGCAGCCCTTGAAGTTCATGCAGTCCAACTCCTTCCTGTTACTGATATAGAAACCTGGGACCAGAGAGAGCATTTACCGAAGTCAAAGAATTATTGAGGCAGAGACAAGATCTGAAAGCCAAACAGGGCGCATATCTCTAAAAATAACAGCTTTGGCTTCCAGAATTTGAAAGCATTTAGTATATTCTATATAGACATATAATATATAAAGCATATAGTATGAGAGCATTAATATAGTATACATACTACATATGGTATGGACAGCATATAGTATACATAGTACACATAGTATGAGAAACATTGTATACA